CTTGTAGTAGAGGTTTTCAGCGTGGAGGATGTTGTTGAGGTCATCGAAGATGTTGATCATGTAGTGACCGTTGGGAGACATGATGAGCTTGATCTCGACACCATCCACGTACACCAGTTTCTTGCCGTAGTTCACCATGACATTCCAGTTTTCCAAATCAGGTCGGGCAAGAAGAAGGGGAGTGTGTCCTGGCAAGACATGAATCACCAAATCTCGCCAAACCTTTCCAACGCAGACAGGCGTTCTGGCACAGAACTGAGAGCAAACCGTGACACCGTCTCCAAAACGAAAGTCACGAGGGTCCTTGGAGATCTCAGCTTCCATCCCACGCATCGTGAGATAGCTGTTCAGCTTGTCCCAGATTGCTTCGCCACAGACAGTTCTCGTGGCTCCACTGTCCATGATTGCCCATCCAACTTCTTGAGACACGAAGTTGATCTCTTCGTACCGATTGAAGTCACCAGGAACAGGAGTGATCTCGGTGGGGACGTCCATGACCATGTTGGCGTCATCAGGGACTTCTTTGATGCCAGACGTTGGCAATCGATATCTTTTGAACCTTGGTCCATGTTGTGCTGTGCTTCCACTTGTAGTTGACTTCGCCGTCGTGGATGCCGATGAAGTATTCTCTGATGGAGATCTTCGGCCAAAGACGAATCTTCTGGCTCCAGGCAGTGGGTGTCCAGCTCCTTTTCCATTGCTTTTGCCTTTGCTCTTACCTCCACCTTTTCCTTTTGATTTTCCTTTTCCTTTTCCACCGCCCGTGTTGCGGCTCTTTCCATAGGATTTACCAGATCCTCGGCCACCAAAGTTGCGGTCGTTCAGGTCCACGGCGACCACAGGATGGGTCCTAGAACCCACGGGACAGCGCAAGTTCTCTCATCTTCTTGCGGCTGTCGAGGTAGTTGATGTAGGCATCTTCAACTGCCAGAGTTGCTTCATCCAGTTCAGGTGGAACATCTTCTTCTCCACCGTTGTTGTCGGCGTAGTTGATCTCATCCTCATAGCCATAGCCATAGGAATCATCTTCCCACACTGGTAGTAGACCTCGTCATCATCGTGGTAGTAGGTCTCGTCTCGTCCAGGGCCTCGTCATCGACATTGTCATAGTTGTCGTAGTCCACCATGTGCACGTCATGCTTGAACGTGGTGTCCTTGGCATTCGGCTTGCTGTCACCACCGAACATCCTTGTGAGAGCTCGACTGACCTTCTCCATCGTCAGCTCACCATTGCACATTGATTTCACCTGTGGGTGAATCCATCGTGGAATGCCAGCTCGCATCAGCAGATGCCATCCAGCTAGCAGCGGGGGCACATCGACGTTCAAGTCTTTGAGCTTTTTCAACATCGTTTGATGTCGCACCAGGTATGCTTGTAGTTCTTCTTGTCTTTCTCGTTGGAATTGCTCGAAGAATTCCTGGCATCGCTCTGGTAGTTCAACTTCTTCTTCATGTTGGAAGAGTGCATCCAGAACCGATGTGATCGGACTGAAGGGGTCTTCCGCCAGCTCGATGTAATCATAGTCCAGGCTCTCCATCGCGTCCCAGGCAACATCTTGCAGCTGTGACAGGATCAGGAAGGCACCTTCAATGGCGACACCAGCTCCTCTTCGTTGGCATTTCCGGCTGAACAAATCCAGCCTTCTCCGGTATGACCTATAGGTCTTCTGCGTCAGGCCTTGTGCCGATGGGGCAGCTTTGGCAAGTCCAGCGTCCAGGCCTCTTTCGAAAAAATCTTGCCCTTGTTGACCTCCATTGGCCTGTGTTGGCCCGTTGGCAGCAGGTACCTGTTGCGCAGCAGCAGGTGCAGCGGGTGTGGCCTTAGCGGCCTGTGATCCACCTCCATTTCCTCCTCCTGTCATGCCCTCGTTCGTGGCAGGGACGATGAAGGAGTCCAGGAAGTAGGCCCACGGATGCCCAACTGGGCTCCGCTACCAATCTCGATCTAGCCAAAGGGGAAATCCTGGAAATAGTTACCAGTCACCCTGCTAGACCTCAGCCTCCTGCAGCACACGAAGTCTTGCGGCGGCTTCTCAGATGTTTTCTCACCAGGCTTCAGGGTCAGCGGTCAATCCGCCTGCAACCATGCACAAAGCTCGAAGGGCGCCCTGGTTAGGCATTGAGCCCCAGAGCAGCGGCCATTCGACCTCAATGCTAATGTCCTCAGTGGACCTGGGTGAGCCTCACAAGACAGCATGAGCATGGATTGGCAATGTACATATATATATATATATATATTTTTATGTCCATAAATGTATATGTATATTTGTATATATAATGTATTTACATGTATGTATATTTGTATAAATAATGTATATATATATATATGTATGTATGTATGTATGTATATATATATTATATGTATATGTATATATATATATATGTATATATATATATGAAAATATTTGTATATGTGTATACATATATATATATATGTATTTGCCTACGGGTTGAAAACCGAACCAGCGTTTTGCATGTTTTTATGTCTTCATGGGGTTAACGGGGTGGGGTGGGGTGGGGTGGGGTGAGTTGGGGTAATAACGTTCATTTGCACTTCCTCACATATATGATGCTGCGTTATTGTGTGTGGTGGGGTGGGGTGGGGCGGGGTAATAACGTTCATTGGCACTTCCTCACATATATGATGCTACGCTACTGTATGTCGTCTTGCACTTCCTCACATATATGATGCTACGCTACTGTATGTCGTCTTGCACTTCCTCACAGATATGATGCTACGCTACTGTATGTCGTCTTGCACTTCCTCACATATATGATGCTACGCTACTGTATGTCGTCTTGCACTTCCTCACAGATATGATGCTACGCTACTGTATGTCGTCTTGCACTTCCTCACATATATGATGCTACGCTACTGTATGTTGTCTTGCACTCCCTCACAGATATGATGCTACGCTACTGTATGTCGTCTTGCACTTCCTCACATATATGATGCTACGCTACTGTATGTCGTCTTGCACTTCCTCACATATATGATGCTACGCTACTGTATGTCGTCTTGCACTTCCTCACATATATGATGCTACGCTACTGTATGTCGTCTTGCACTTCCTCACATATATGATGCTACGCTACTGTATGTCGTCTTGCACTTCCTCACATATATGATGCTACGCTACTGTATGTCGTCTTGCACTTCCTCACATATATGATGCTACGCTACTGCATGTCGTCTTGCACTTCCTCACATATATGATGCTACGCTAGTGTATGTCGTCTTGCACTTCCTCATGAGAGCTTTGTATCAAAACCTTGAGATGAGTTTTGAAAGCAATGCACGCCAGGGATCTTGAGAGATGCACATGGAGACAAAAAGAGTGCATGGAACGCTTTTCCACCTGCTCTTGGCAGTGGAGATGGGAAAACAGTTCCCACAAAAACCTGTCCAAACTCACTGCAGACATTGTCAAGAACACTTAGGGCAGAAACAAAGAGACTGCCGCTGAGGTTTTTTACATTTCCAGTTAAAAGTACGCGCGTGCTTTTTAAGGAAATTGAACTTTCAGGGAGATGCAAAACAACTGTGATTTGTGGTATAAAACCAATGACGAACACTGCAAACGTTGAAAACGCGGGTTCGATAAACAACCCGCCGGGATGTATATGTATATTTAAATACATATGTATATGTATATATGTATATGTATATTTAAATATATATGTATATATGTATATATTTATATATGTATATATGTATATATGTATGTATATATGTATATATGTATATATTTATATATGTATATGTATGTGTGTATATATGTATATATACATGTATATGTATTTAAAATGTATATATATATATATTTATGTAAATATACAGTTTCATCCTTCTTTTGGACAATCAAAACAACATCCAGCGGAAGGTAGCTTGAGGGCTTCATCAGATAGACGGGCAAACGAAGTTCTTGATGGTCAGGTGGTGAGGTGGTGAGGACTCCATGGGAACCATTGAACAAGATTGAACACAGCAACAGATTTACAGCAGTGGATTGCAAACATGAAAAAAATTTGCCAGGTGAAGCCAGCCTGCCGCAACCTGACTGAAAAAGCGTACTAAAGATCGGAGTTGATGAGTCCCGAAAGCAGATTCCTTCTCAGTTTGACAGAATGTTTGATTCAATAAACGTATTTTGATATGTTTCGTATATCTACATCATACAGGGACTCAAAAGTTTTGATACGATTTAATCATTTAACCAAATCAATCAGATAACGGTTCTCGCGTTCCCTTACCAGCAAGCTCTGCAGCCTTGCAGAAACCAACGCCGAAGCACAGGCGTTTCGCATCCCGCAGCCAGCGCCTCTGTGCGAAATTGAGGCACCCAAAAATTGCGAAATCAAGCTGTGGCAGCTGCGATGCGCTTGTGTTGCCCACTCCTTTTTGTTGAGTCGATCTTGAAATTTGATGCCTCAAGAGGGAAAAACGGAGGCTAAAAGGGCGTAGCATGAACCCACAAAAGAAAAACACTAAAATCAATTGCACTTGAATGATTCATGACATGAGATGATCTATTTTCCCTACTTTTTCCCATCTAATTTTATTCTCAGGGTTTTGAACCTTTTGGATGAATTGCTTGATGAATTCTTTTTCCAAAAATCGACAGCGGTGCCAATTGAGAGCGTCCAGGACGGCTCCAGAGACTCCGGAGGATATTCAAATTTCAACGGAGGCTCGGTTGGTGACACTGTGGTGACACCGTGGTGACACCGTGAGGTGTCCTGAGCTCGTCACATTGCAATGCATTTCGAACATGTCAAAATATTGTCTTGAAGTACTGTACATTATCCAACACATTTTTTTCATCAAAGATATCCAAGATGTCAGTAGCAATTAGGATGGAATATGATGAAACATCATGACTTGCAGAGATTTCCGGTTCTTCATTTGAGGTAAACCATGGCAATCACATGGCAATCCCCAAGACAAAAAGGACCTCTAAATCTTAGGCGACCAGGAAAGAGGTGCAAAACACGTGTGAATGTTGACACAGAAGGTGCATGAAAGGCACAGTTGGTACGTCCTGCCAACAGTTGGCTTCAGAAACAATCGCCATGACAAGCACTGATACGCAGAGAGCTCAAACGTGACTCCAGACTTCCTACCTCCGAATATGTATATACATACGTATACATATACATATACATATACATATACATATACATATACATATACATATACAATATGTACTTATTGCATACACAGTACAAACACGATACATTATCTGTACATTATCTCTGCATGATCTCTATAGATTATCTCTCTACATTGTCTCTATTCATTATCTCTATGCATTATCTCTATCCGTTATCTCTATGCATAATCTCTATGCGTGATCTCTACACATTGTCTCTACACATTGTTACTATATACTATCCATATAGATTGTCTCCATAGATTATCTCTATACATTATCTCTGCATATATGGTCTCTCTATACAATTTCTCTCTATACATTGCCTCTCTATACATTGTCTCTCTATACATTGTGCCTCACAAAACAGACTATATCGACGTTTCACCTGCATTATTTCACATTACCTAATCATTAAATATAGATTAGTTTTACTCTTTGAATACACTGCGCATACAATATACATACGTTATGCATACATTGTAAACAGACTATGCGCATTATACATATACATTGTAAATATGTTTCAATACATTATACATACATCATATATATGTTGTCAATACATTGTGCGTACATTCTACATACATTATATATACAGCGTGTATGCATACACCATACAATATATATATATAGGAATGGTATTTACCCTAAAGTTACTTTGTGTATACATTGGGTTTACATTTTGCATACATTGTATACACACCATAAAAAATACACATACATTTTGCTAACATGATGTATAGGTAATATGCACATTGTCTACACATTATGTATAGATGATACATACGCTATACCAAGAATATATTCACATCATTCACACATTATTGGAACATTAATAATGCACTATATCTCCATGATATAACAGTCATTCGACATCATATCTGCATTATATAAACAGTGTAGATTAAAATTCCAAATGCATTAGTTAAACACGTCGGTTTCATTATATACACATCATACTGACATTATACATACATGCTATTTACACTATGTAAACATGTGTTGTACATTTTACATTCATTATGTTTACATTCTGTATCTTTAAACTTTTAAACTTACTTTATATATATATATATGCAACATATTTTTATATTTACATTTCATTTTTACATTACACACACATTGTCTATACATTATATATTTACTTTTTTTTTTGCATTGCCTAAAAATTAGCATTACATTATATACACATTGCCTTTACAGTCTGTTTACATCTTATATACATGCCACATAAGTTATGCACACATTCAATATACAATTAAATATACGTTTTATGCAATATACATACAAAATATTTACATTCTATTTACACTTTATATACAGTGTGTTTACATCGTATTTGCATTATATGTACATTATAGACAGGTACATTATACCTACACATTCTAAAGATGATATACATACATTATACATACACTAAAAATGCATCATGCATACAGATCGAATAACTTATACATACATTGTATACACACTGTATGTATATATATATATGTATATGTTTTTTTGTTTATTATATCTATTTTTACTATGTATACATTCTATATACATTGTTTACATTATATACACCTTTGGTTTTTACATTGTATACACATTTGATTTGTTACATTAATATTTATATTGAAAATACATTATATATACTCCTTTTTTACACTATACATCAAGTATAAATACATTATATATGCATTATGTATACATTATGCTGCTTACATTATATTTACACTATATGTACATTATTTATATATATATATTACTTTTACATTATATCTACATTGAATCTCCATTGTATTACCTGTATATAAATATACAGTTTATTTCCATTAAATATTCATTTCGCTATACATTATACATACATTTATATACACTATGTTTACATTATATACCCATTATCTTTACACTATACATACTTTTTTTTGATTACGTATGTATTACTTATACATTATGCATGCATTATATATACATTTTACATATGCATCTTATAGATTTTATTTTTACATTTTACATGCATCGCACTTACATTACACATTTTGTATCCTTTTTTCATATTTATTTTCATTATATTCACATTTTGTAAGCATTATAAATACATTGTACATACATTGTATGTAGTTAACCAGTTCATTATCTTTTCATTATCTTCACATTATCTTTACATTATATTCACATTTACATACATTATGCATACACTTTTTTACTATTGTGTACATCATAAGTACATTATCCATGCATTAGATTTACATTATTTACACATTATTTACAGTGTACATCCATTATTCATATTTAGACCTACTTTATATGCATTTACATGTTTTTCAGATTATACACACATTATATATACATCATATTCACATTACGCGTACATTAAATACACATATTACATATACTTTATATCATTTCTATTTTTCCTTTACATCCATTACACATAAATTTTATATAGAGTACATTATTTGTACGATATACATACAGTATTTTTACATTATAGCTTAGTGTGCAAACATTATTTTCATTTTTCATCATATATACACATGATATACACATTGTAACCACAGTGTACATACATTATGTTCATATTTGTATCTGAATTATGTATATATATATATACCTGTTAAACATGTTTTTTTGCCATTTTTCATGTATCATATATACATTGTATTGTTATTATTTATGCGGTTTGTATTTGCATTATAAATACGTTCTACATTCTTTATTTTCACATTGTACATACATTATACATTCATTATATATACATTAGATTTAGATTATATATGCATTATATATATATATGCATTATATATATACATTATATACATTATATACATTATATACATTATATACATTATATACATTATATACATTATATATCCATTATATGCATTATATATACATTATTTATACAAGATATATACATTATATATATATATACATTCTTTATATACATTGTATTTACATGAGGTTTACATGAGGTTTACATTGGTTTTACATTATACATACATGATACATACAACATACATTATACACGCATTATGCATGCACTTTTGTTAACAAAAAATCTTTTGGTAGCTGCGGCTGCGCAGGTTGCTGAGGCACCGGCCCTCGACACGGAGGCAACCACAGTGTCGACGCCAGCCGTGGTAGCCGCGGCGCTGCCGGAGGCTGAAGGCGGGAAAATTTCAGTGATGGCCGATAGCCGATGGCCAGTGATGGCTGAAAGGCGATGTGGATCGTTTCATCTCTTCGATATCATTTCGATTTATACTTCTATTTCTTTTCTTCATATGTTTTGCATTGTTTTTTTTGGTTGGTTTATGATCAAGAGCAAGTGTTCACGTTTCAAGTGGCATACTTGAGTTGCAGTCCCTAGTCATGTTCTCAGGTGACGTCTCTGAAAGACCTCAAGAACCACCAGAGGTGGGACCAATCTGGCGGTGAAAGTGAGGACCTAACATGTCGGACTGGACATAGAGAAGTAATGACAACTGCGCCTTCACCGCACACGAATCATTATGACCCATCATCAATAAAACATACTTGTTGCTTTATTATGCTTTGTTTGACGTAGGCTGCAGAGCTTGCGGACAGTGAAGACACAAAGAAAGAGGTGGATTTGCCCACGTCGGGCCCTTGGACAGAGTGAACAGAAGGAAAACATGACCACGGACTACACAGGTTGATTTAAATGGATAGAAGGTGACATAGCGTGCAAAAACATCGAGTCCCAGGGTAAGTAGATTAACAAAATCTTTCAGGTTTTTCATTCGGAAATCATAAATTTCCATAAATTTCCATAAATTGCATTTTTTCCACAAATTTCCATAGATTTCCAAAATTTCCACAAGTCTCTAAAAATCCATGGAAGCCCCATGAATTTCCACAGATTTCCATAAATTTCCATAGATTGCAATATTTTTTCATTAATTTCCATACTTTCAATGAATTTCCCGAAATTCGAATAAATTTCATAATTTCCAGAGATTTCCATAGATTTCCTTGAGTGCCCATTAACTTTCATAAATTTCCATACATTGCAATATGTTCCATAAGTTTCCTTAAAGCCGATAAGATCCAAAGTGTTCCATAAATTTCCATGATCCATCAATTTCCTTAAATTTCCATACTGTGCATAAAATTCAATTATTGTCTATAAATATCCATCACTTTGATTTTTTCCATAAATTTCCATAATTTGATAATTTTCCATAAATTTCCATGAGCGTCTGTACGTTTCCCAGCTTTCCATAAATTTCCATTAATGTCGATAAATTTCCATAAATTACAATTTTCCATAATTTTCCATAACTTTCCATATTCTCCACAATTTTCCATAAATTTCAAATAGTTCGATCAATTTCCATGAATGTCCATACATATCCAAAATTTCTTTAAATGTCCATATATCTCCATAAATTTCCATAAATTGCAATTATTCCATAAACTTCTATCACTTTCCATGTTCTCCTCAATTTTCTAAAAAAATCCATAACTTCTGGAATTTTCCATATATTTCCATGAATGTCTATATACAAATTTCTTTAAATTTACAGAATTTCCATGAGCTTCCACAATTTCCATAAGCCTCGCTAAATTTTCATAAGTTTCCACAAATGGCAATATTCTCAAAAAAAACATTTAATTTCCCACAATTTCCATGATTTTCTTTTTTTTTCCATAAACGTCCATAAATTTCCATACATTTCTAATTTCCATAATATTCCATGCGTTACTAAAATTTCCAGAAATTTCCATAAATTCCCATTCTTTCCATTAATTTCTATTTTTTAAATTGTAATGTTTTCTTTAAATTTTCATAAATTTCCTTTTTCATATTCTATAATTTCATCATTCCATAATTTTCCATATTTCCTAAAATTTCCACATACATCTCCATGGTTTCCAGGCATTTATTTCCATAATGTCCATAAAAAAATTACATAAATTGCAATATTTTCAAATAATTTCCATCAAGTTCCACAAATTTCCATAATTTCCATAAATTTCCCAAAGAACACACACACACACATATATATATATATATATGTATGTATATTGTTTATAACTTGCCATTTTTTACATAAAAAATCATGAATGTCCATACATTTTCATAATGTCCATAACTTTCCATATGTTGCAATATTTTCCATATTTTGCAATATTTTCCATAGATGTCCATTATTGTCCAAAAAAAATCCATACTGAATGTAGCAATCCACAATCTTCCTCATTTTCGAGTTAGCTCAAAACATGTAGCTGGCTCAATTTCAGAAGGGGTCATGTGTTTGACTTTAACGTGCCGCTGTCTAAGCAGATTTGGCCCAAAACGTGGCTCCTGAATTTCTGGGCTGCAACGGTGGTACCATCTCTATTAAACGAATTATTTGGGACTGAATTGAACACATGGGGAAGCAATTTGCAGGCTCGCTCAAGTGGAAAGAGCTACCTCAGCAACACCGCGCTAGCTCAAACACATCGGTCTAGCTCGATGGCATCAAGCTGGCTCAATTTCTTTGAACGGAAAAAATGCCAATAAAAAACGAAAAAATTGAGCAAGCTACGTCACTTTGAGCTGGCAAGCGAATGTGAGAGTAGAAAGCGAATACATAATATGTATTAGCCGGGTTGATGCCGGACGCCGAGCTGGCTCAAGGGTATGTAGCTGGCCCATTTTTTTCGAAGTTTTTTTTTTCCGTTTTTTTTGCCAAAAAAATTGAGCCAGCCACAAGTTGCCACAAGGCGCTGAGCGCGTAACGAGACACTGAGCGCGTAATGAGGGAATGGCGAATCTGTACTGTACGGGACCGATGGATTTTCCGAGACAGCCTCTGCAGTTCCAACAAATCAAATTGTTGATTGATTCTGGCACCATATGAAACAAAATAGACGGGCAGTCTATACATATGTATACATATATAACCCCGACCGTATAATTGTGGTCAATCTCAGGCAACACGCGTTTTCTTGAGGGAGACGCGTGCCTTTGAGCTGGAAGGAGATTGGGAAAAGTAACTTTCGACCATAAACTTCCATGAATTTCCATACATGCTTATTATCGCCCATAAATTTCCATAAATTGCAATATTTTCTATAAATAGCCATCAATTTCCATAATTTCCATAATTTCCCATAATTTTCTTTTTTTTCATTACTTCCATCAATTTCCATACTTTTCTATAATTTTTATCAATTTCAATAATTTCCATAAATTTCCATGCGCTACCAAAATTTCCATAAATTTCCATGCGCCCGATGCTTTCCATAAATTTCCTTAGTTTCCATAAATTTTGTTTTTTTTCATAAATGAATTTTGATTATTTTGCAAAAATTTCCGTGAATGTCCATACAAGTAGATGGCATAAAGTGAATTTCCATCAATTTCCATAAACTTCTTTCAATTTCCATGAATTTCCATCAATTTCCATAAACTTCTTTCAATTTCCATGAATTTCCATAAGTTTCTTTGAATTTCCATGAGCCTCAATCAATTTCAATAAATTTCTGTAAATTTCCATGAGTTTCCATCAACTTCCATAACCTTCTTTAAATTTCCATGAATTTCCATACACTTCTTTAAATGTCCATGAATTTCCATATTTTTTTTCTGAATTTACATCAATTTCCATCAATTTCTTTGAATTTCCATATTTATATTGACATTTCCATGAATGTCCACCAACTTCCATAAACTTCTCATAACTTTCCATGAATTTCCATCAATTTCCATAAGCTTCTTTAAATTTCCATGAAGATCCGTACATTTCGATGAATTTCCATCCATAGACTTGTAAAAAAACCTAGGAATTTCCATCAATTTCTTTAAATTGGCATCAATACCCATAAATCTCTTTGAATTTCCATGAATTTCCATCAATTTCCATAAACTTCTTTAAATATCTATCATTTTCCATAAACTTCTTCTGTAAATTTCCATGAAATTTCCATGCGCCTGATGCTTTCCATAAATTTCCCGAGTTTCCATAAATTTTGATTTTTCACAAATGAATTTTGATTCTTTTGCAAAAAAAAACAGTGAATGTCCATACAGGTAGGTTGCAAAAAAATCCAAAAAATCACGATTTTCCAGCAATTTCCAAAAGAATCCAATAAACTTCGTCCATAAACTTTTTCTATAAATTTCGGTGAATGTCCATCAATTTCCATTAACTTCTTTAAATTTCCATGAATTTCCATAAACTTCTACAAACTTCTTTGAATTTCCATCAATTTCCATAAACGTCTCACAAATTTCCATGAATTTCCATAAGCTTCTTGTATAAATTTCGATGAATTTCCATCAATTTTCATAACTTTCTTTAAATTTCAATGAATTTCCTTCAATTTCCATAAACTTCTTTAAATTTCCATAGACTTTCCATGAATTTCCATCAATTTCCAAAAACTTCGTTGAATTTCCATATTTTTTTTGAAATTTCCATGAATGCCCATTAATTTCCATAAACTTCTCATAAATTTCCATGAATTTCCATCAATTTCCGTACCATGACGACCTGTAAATTTCCATGAATTTCCATCAATTTCTATAGACTTGTAAAAATACCAATGAATTTCCATCAATTTCTTTAAATTTGCATCAAATTCCATAAGTTTCTTTGAATTTCCATGAATTTCCACCAATTTCCATAAACTTCTTTAAATATCTATCATTTTCCATAAATTTCTTCTGTAAATGTCCACTTCTTTAAATCTCTTTGAATTTCCATAGTTTCTTATATTTTCATGAATTTGCATCAATTTCCAGGGGCTTCTGTGAATTTCCATCATTTTTTCTTTGGGTTTCCTTAAACATCAATTTCCATGAATTTCCATCCATTTGCAAAAAATCTTTAAATTTCCATTTTTTAAAAAACATCCATGAATTTCCATCAGTTTCCATCAATTTCCATAAGCTTGTAAAACTTTCCATGATTTTCCATCAATTTCTATAAACTTCTTCTCTAAATTTCCATGAATTTCCATCAGTTTCCATAAACTTCTACAAACTTCTTTGAATTTTCCATCAATTTCCATAAACTTCTCATAAATTTCCATGAATTTCCATATGCTGCTTCTATAAATTTCGATGAATTTCCATCAATTTCCATAAACTTCGTCTTTAAATTTCAATAAATTTCCATCAATTTCCATAAATTTCTTTAAATTTCCATAGACTTCTTTGAATTTCCATGAATTTCCATTAAGTTCTTTAAATTTTTTTAAATTCCCATAAATCTCTTTGAATTTCCATGAATTTCCATCCATTTCCATAAGCTTCTATAAATTCCCATGAATGTCCATCAATTTCCATAAACGTCTACAAATTTTTTTAATGCATTCCACCAGTTTCCATATATATATATATAGATGTATGTATTTATTTATTAAGAAAAAAAACATTGAATTTCATAAGTTTGATAAATTTCCATGAAATTCCATTAACCCCTACAAATTTCCATTAATTTGCATAAACTTCTATGAATTTTCATGAATTTGCATACATTTCTTATAAATTTCCATGAGTATCAATCAATTTCCATGATTTTCCATCAATTTCCATAAACTTCTCATAAATTTCCATGAATTTCCATAAATTTCCGTGAATGTCCCTAACTTCCATAAATTTTTGATCAATTTCCATCAATTTCCATACATTTCTACAATTTGTTTAATATATGTTCCAATGTTTTTAAAAAATAGTTTGCCGAATCTTTGAACACCGTCCAGGCCCAGCCCGGAGGAGGCCCCAATTTGCTCACCATCTGCTGACCATGGGGTTGCGGGTTGTGCTTAGTGTTGTGCTTACCGTTGTGCACACCATGGCACACATCACACGACATTCAGAGCATGGCAGAGTGTTGTCCAATACCTGACATGACCTGACTCAATGATTCCTGTATTCCTGCAACTCTGCTCCAGGTTTCAACTGATTTCTTGCATGTTTTACTTTTCCCATAGTTTCCCATAGTCTTAAGATTTCCAAGACATCTGAAACCATTTTACCTTCTAGAGTCACAGTAAGCCTCAAAAGATAAGTCAACCATTTAGGGCCGGAAGGGGGGAATGTAGCCTGCTCTTCCCTACACATTACGGGCATTGCGGGCAGTTGGCGGAAGCTCGCAGATTGGACCAAGAGGCACCTGGATTGCTTGGAAAAAGTTCGGCAAACAACATCTACAGCTATTGTGGTTACCCCTGAAACCATAGAAAACCATACGTAGATTTAAGCAAAGACAAGAAAGAACGATGTCTCTATTCAATTCGGACATATTGGGATAAGAATTGATTCTTCATGCCATCAAGGATCAAGTCCAGTGTATGCCAGGAACGACTGAGAGTGTTGTCCAGATTAGATCCAATTTACAGGAGCGCCTGCGAAAGCAGAAGCTGCAGTTGGAAATGTGCCAGGTGCTCCTTTGGTGCTGGAAACCAATCGTGGCATTTCATACGAATCATCTCATGACATCTCATGACTATGTTTGTTGTCTTTTTGAATTCAACTGTTGACATCAATCATGTGGAGGACAAATGGGTTCCTTTTAGAGACGAACTTCTTGAAAACTAACTCTGATGTTTTTCACACTTTATCTACTAACTCTGATGTTTTTCACACTTTATCTTGTTTCGCCAAAAACGCAATGTTTCAATTTCTTGGTGTAAACGCTGCTGTTTCATGCTGTTTCCTTCTGGCCACATGGGCTGGTAGTGATGATATGAGACCCTACGGTTCCCTGCTGTTGGTTCGATCCTGTTCTGCATTGCGCTTTACAATGCCCTACATTTTTTTTCCTGCAGGTTTCATGATATTTCAGACATGAAACATGTTCCAACATGTTTGGAACTTCTCGGTCTTGATATGAAACCTATTCAATCACATAAAAACAGATAAAACATAAACACGTATTTTAATATTTTGTACATTTTTGATCATTTTTGTACACAAAGATGTCAGCATTGTCAGCTATGACTTGCAATGTGTCTTGCAATGTGTGTTCTTTTCTTCGCATTCGCCGCAGTTTCGAGAGCTTCTCTCAGCGCCCTGCCTGGTGCTGGTGGTGTGCGGCTTGCCTCTGCCAGAGGCGATGGTCGACGGGACGATGGGACGATGGACGATGTCATTCCGCCTGAACTGTGCAATTTATGTTCATATCAATATATATATATATATTATATATTATATATATATATATTATATATATATATTATATATTATATATATATCATGATTAATCACACTTTCAAGTTTTGAAAAGGTGTTAATTAATAGACAATAGTTCTTTGGTTCCCTTGCCTTGTCAGTTTCTTGCAAAACCACATGCGTAAGGATTCCACAGCTGGCACGGACTGTCACTGGCCAAATATTTCGTTTCACACCGCCGTGCAGATTTTGGCCCTGCGCGCAGTGAACAGCTCTGCGCTGCACTGGGCCGGGGTGCTCAGCCAGAGCTATCGAGTCCGCCAAGAAGAAACGCAGAAACAGAGGAAGAAATGCTCGCAATAGCTGCAATAGCTGCAATAGCTGCAATAGCTGCAATAGCTAGCCTGGCAAGATAGGGATACAGATGAATATCAGATGAAGAAATTTGCAGACAGGTTTGCTATTGCAGCATGATTGCAGTGTCAGTTTACCGAGTTTTGGTGTGACAGGCCATGGACAGTGCTATCGCGCACTTGGGCGAGGTGTGTCAGGCGACGCTACGACAAAGTTTGTACGTGAATTGGACTGTTGTAGTCTCATTTTTTTTTCATTTGACGTGTTTTCGGTTTCCAAGCTGTTGACTGTGGCCTACGCCACTGAGACTCTTTCTTGAGATTCTTCACTGGTGCCCCACAAAGAAACAGATCCAAAGGGTGTCTCAATTGTCGTTCAGGCACACCATCGTATCCGCACACGGCTTTGGATCCAGCGACTGGAGGCATGTGGTCATGGCGCTGAATCTGTGAGGTCAACTTGAAAAGGTGTTTGGATCTGGAAAGTTTCTTTTCGCAATTGTATGTCATAATAGACTGTAGACAGTTAATTATAATGATCGTACATCATATGTATATCATTGTATATACAGTATTATATGATAGTATATTATAGATTATTATAGTATATGTATTCCCCTTGGAATTTCCTCTACGAAATGGTTGGCCTCAACCCCCCAAAACGCTACCATAATGATATAGGCATTTTTTCTAGCTATTTTGAAGGGTTGGGTCCTACCATCATGTAGATCAACAAATGTTAATAAACCAATCTGTAGTGAGTGACCTTGGTTTTAAACAAGTGCCCATTCAGTTTCGGCCAAGAAAATTCAAAACCAAACCGTAGACCTTGTCGGTGGCTTGGTGCTGGTTTCCAAGAAAACTGAAAAACTAATTTGTAGTGATTTGGTGTGCTCAAGGTGCCAAGTGCTGATTTGCAAGAAAAAATCAAAACCGATTTGTAGTCATTTTCGGTGTTCATGGCTGATCAGTGCTGATTTCCAAGAGTATCTTGCAGAACCGATCTGTAGTGACCTTGGTTTCTGAAAAATGTTGATTCAAAAAAAAAACAAACTGTAGATTCTTTCGGGGGGTCTGTGCTGATTTCCAAGAAAATTACAGAACCAATCTTTAGTGACTGTGTGTTCTCATCTGTGATAAGTGCTGATTTCCAAGAGAATTTCAAAACCAATCTGTAGTCATTTTCGGTGTTCATGAGTGGTCAGTGCTGATTTCCAAGAAAATTACAGAACCCATTTGTAGTGACCATGTATATGTATAAATACATAATATCTTATACAGATAAATTAATATACATTATATATATATATGATATGTATATATCTCTATATATATATATTATATATATATATAGATTAGATTTGTCAGATTTGTCAGATTTGTCTATTCTTGTTGTATTTGGTTTGTTTTTTATTTCGCTTAAAGTTCCCAGATCCTTCTGGGACTCACCTTGAGGAGATCAATCGTCATACCACCGATGAGAGCCTGTATGACTCCAAAGTGCGGCGGCTTGCCGATGATCCACGGCAGCAGGGCCTTGGGCGTACTAAAACTTCACAAAAGTTCTTACGAAATGTTGAAAAGATCACCATTTTAAACTGCGAGTTCAAATGAGTTCAATATCCATTATGTATCATGTGTCATGTTATGAAGGTTTGAACATTATATATTGTGACTGGTGAAACTGGATCCGGAATTTCGCCCCGTGTATTTCTGGACTAATCAAGGCTTTTGATTTTTGGCTTTAGACGACCAGGAAACGCAACTGACTAGGCAGGCCTGGCTGAATCTTTCACTGTCGCTGTTTTGGGCCTAGGAAGCACTTCGTCGCCGGATGGAGGCTGAATGTTGGGACAGCATGGGACAGAATGGGACAGCCAACTAAAGACATCCTCCATGCAGAAACGATTGGTCTATACAAGAGAAAAAGGTGGTGGGGAAAGCCGGTGGGGCCGGTGGGGCCGGTGGGGACATGGTATCAGAAATCCAACTGTTTGACTTTGTGCAATTGGCTGTCTCTGTGAGTCTGTAGAGGCTGAGATGGCAGATGCTCGGCAAGACATGGAGAATCGCATCCGTGACTTTCATGTCGAGGCCGCTCAGACATCTCACATGTCCCATATCGCCTGTCAAACTGCTTGGAAAACACATAAATGCACGTATGATTTGGATACGATTTGGATTGATTTGCCCACATTTTTGTTGATGACGTAAAAGACCTTGGATGACCTTGGATGACTTTGGATGACCTTGGCTAGGCTTGATACAATATGACTTGATCACAGTAGCATTACATCACCGTGGCAGCGGTGCATTACATCACTGCTTGACCAATCCTGGAAGGTCGATCGTCGGATGGAAGCACAGGCGGTGAGAGTCCATGCCATTGTTGAGGACCGCCTTGCGTGACACCATTGCCTCCAGGATTTGAAGCATCCAGAAAAACTGTGATCATATTTTCACCATCAAAATTTATTGCAGTGCAAACTTTCGAAATGGACTCCCCGATTTTTCCCAATCAACATCCTGGCAATCTTCCCGACTTTATGCCTTTCTATCTTCGATGGCAGGAGCGTGTGCAGCAACAACTGGACACCATCCTGGCAGCAGAGATGGAGAAGGTGAGAACCTCTGAGACGACCATGATTAGCATCATTAATTCGTCGTTATTGTCATGTGGACACCCTCTTCATCATTATTATCCTTATTCTACTATCTACTGATAATTTACTACTACTAATTACTACTACTACTACTACTACTACTACTACTACTACTATTACTGCTACTACTGCTACTACTGCTACTACTGCTACTACTGCTACTACTGCTACTACTGCTACTACTGCTACTACTGCTACTACTGCTACTACTACTACTACTGCTACTACTGCTACTACTACTACTACTACTTACTACTGCTACTACTGCTACTACTGCTACTACTGCTACTACTGCTACTACTGCTACTACTACTGCTACTACTGCTACTACTGCTACTACTACTACTACTACTGCTACTACTGCTACTACTGCTACTACTGCTACTACTACTACTACTGCTACTGCTGCTACTACTGCTACTACTGCTACTGCTACTACTACTACTGCTACTACATCTTTTGTATTTCCATGATGTATCATCATGCGCTTCATACTCGCATTCCTTGTGGCCAGGGTGTATACGACTTGGCTTTCTCCAGTCCCAAAGTGTGGTTTCAAGCTCACCCTGTTTGCAGGTTCGGGTCTTGGTGGAAGAGCGGGTGCAAGGTCGCGTTCGACAGGCAGGAGGGAGTCAACCGGGTTCCTCCACAGCTCTGCAGTGTGAGTTTGGGTTCAGAGTGGTTTTCACTGAAATGATCAGATTACGGATATGCAGTACAAACGAGCTCGCAACCAACCAATAGCCAATCGTGCTACTAGTAAGACAAAATTTAAATTTTCATAAAAAGATTTTCCTGCTTGTCTCCTTTTGGTCGGACTTGTGATGCAATGGTTTGATGAGCCACTACTCTTGACTTGCACACGCGTCTCCGGAAGTGAGGTGAGACACTGCTAGAATTCTTGGGCAGCGCAGGTTGTCCAAAGAGAAGTCTACGCCACTGTTTGCGAGATGCAGGCTGCAGCACATGTTGACACAGGGCATGAAGACTACGTAGGTAGCAGATAGTAGCAGACCATTGTCAACAAGACTAGTGCGCAGCAAGAAAGGAGGTATGATGAGATTATGATGAGATTATGATGAGATTATGATGAGATTATGATGAGATTATGATGAGATTATGATGAGATTATGATGAGGTGTGTCACATGCACTGTGATGGTGTTGTTCACTGTAACGTTCTGCTTTTCATTGCATCCCACGGGGAACTTGCAAGGCAGACCATAAGTATGTGCGCATCATACATCCACGTGAAGTACCTAGAAACAGACGTTGTATAATTAGTTTGTTGATGTTCGGATAAGGAACCAAGACCCTCACAGACCCTCTTTTATCTCCAATGTTCACCATTGTCATGAGTGCAAGTCACAGATGTCGCTGACATATGCCGACATATACTGACATGTGCTGATCACATATTGCATTGCGAGGCCAAACTCGCCACCCTCGCCAAGGACCGAACTTGCCCAGTCACTGTGAAGGCTTCAAACCAACAGATTTGGAGAGCTACACAACGCGAAAGAGTTGTGATTCGGAGAGACCATGCGAGAGGGGCTTGTTTTTATAAGTTTATTATATATATATATATAAATATATATATACATACATACACATGTTTTCATGATTGATGGATGGCATTGGATGGCCATGCTTCCTGCATGCCTGACTGTCCAGGAGAATGAGAAGTTGCGGGCGGTCTTTTTGGAACACTTGGACAGCGGGCATGGAAGATTGGAAGAGATTGGAAGAATATGATTTTGGGAGTCGATTCATTGACTCGGCATTCGCAACACAGCACAACATGACGATGTTTGATGCTGCTACTGGATAGCTCTCCTGTAAATTGGTGTTAAAAGCCAAGCGCAGACATGTGTTCAGCATTGTTCAACGGATCATGCAACACTCATTATTGAACAATGTTCCTGAGTTGCTCAACCAGCAGGAACACTCCGACCTGTGTTTTCGGTCGTTGGTTTGGGCTCTGAGCCCGACTTCCACTGGATTGTCAGGTACTAAGGTGTTCAAACACAACAATCTTGAACACAGACATGTTGTTAAGAAGACATACGACAGCGAACAGAAGACCGCCACAAGGAAAGCGCGTGTTGAAATGAGATTGGGCTCCGAAATGCGCTGTAAAGGCTTTGAAGGTGTTATCTTTTGCAGTAGTGCTGCTAGCTGCAGACGGTTTTCATCAAGGCATGATAACTTCAACTGCAAAATGTGTTGTGTTTTGTAAACGGAAATTGCCCGTCCTTTGTCCACCAAGGTTTGCAAGAACCCTGCGTCTGATCTGGTGTTGTCGACGACGCTTCACGACCGGGCCCTAGAGTGAAAGGATCGGAGAGACCCACACATTGCATGACATGCATGACATTGCCTCACGTTTCACATCGTTTCACATTGCATCCAGATGGTGAGAAGCAAAACCGCGACCAGTGAAAGCAGCTAAGCATGAAGCATCATGAAACCAGCTAAACCGCTCTTTTGTAAGGGTCATAATATGATAGTCATATGGATCATTTTCACGGTTTTTTGACACAAAAATAGTGGAGTTCTCATGAGTTCTCTATTCTAGCTCCTCCTCGAGGTGCAAAGATTCTTTCGTCCCTCGTGAAGCTTAGGTTGAAAATGGTTGAAATATTGTTATAGCTTGAACCCAAAATGCATCAGAATTCACAGTGGTTTAATTTGATGTAAAATGATGTACAATGCGATCAAGTTCTTAGAATTTAGTGCAGTCCACGCTGTCCACGGACACCAAGGCGCTTTTCTGCATGGATGTTGGGCGTGCCAATGGATTCACGCCGGGACAGTCTGGGGCCCACTGCGCAAGTCTGGAGACTGCAGAGATGCTGAAATCCTAGCGGGTCATGGTCATGGCAGAATTTAAATGTATATATAATATATATGATATATATATATATGATATAAATATATATACATATATATATATGATGTGGATTCAGGATGATTCAGATACGGCACTTTCAAGAATTCTATTTTCGTATTGGCATTTCTTACACATTCTTGCGGGCTGCTTGGACTTCCATCCATTGCACCCTCATATTTTGGAGCTGATATCGAAGGTCTAAACATGTCAACTGCTGAGTCCTGCGACAGCGACTGGAGCTGATGCACTATTTAGGCCAAGCGACCCCAGGGAACTCGGAGAACTCGGAGACGAACCCGGGGAACCCGGGGAACTCGACAAAACATCCTGGTGATTGTTTGAAAATGTTTGAATGTCGATGAATGTCGATGAATGATATCCATTTTTCATCATTTTTCAGGGACATGATTGACTTGTTTTTTCAAGTCCCACCAGTCCCTTTTCAAAGAGGCACCCCGAAAAGCATGGCATGGCTTTTTGGATGTCCGGATGCTGTGGAGCAGCTGCAACGGCTGCAACGGCTGCAGGCAGCTTGCGACATCCGGACCGAGACCGAGAGTCGCCCAGACGCCATGAGCGAGCCAGTGAGCTGGCACGAAGCCCAGAGGGAGCCTAGAGGGAGCATCATATGGACATCATATGGACATCCACTGTAAGATACTGTGAGTCATTGAGACTCAACACTTCCCGGGTTCGTCAATCTGAGGGAAACCAGTGGGGAACCATTGGGTGGCACTTCGGCACATGGGACTCCTCGGGGGACCCGCAGCCCGTAGCATCCCGTAGCAACAAAGTTCAAAAGATGCTGGACATTGCTGGACTCCTGGACTTGACCCAACTTGAACCGATCGACGCCCAAAGTGTTGCCCAGTCGCGTTGATTCGCAGGGTCGGCAGAAGCTTCTGGCAGCCCTGCAAGGCAGATGCCATATGCTGGCACAGCTCCAATCCTCACCATGTTTGCAATATCTCAATGCACATGCAACATTCGCACATGCAATGTTCCCATAGAAACGTGAACAATTCACAAAGATGTCAAGGGCTATTCGCACGTTTGTGCACAGGCTGACAGCTGTAACCTTGATCATTTGAGAGCTTTTTGCTGCATGAGCCATGTTCCTCCTTTGAAAGTTTCTTGTTGGTTGGGCACAAGAAAGCGCGTCTTCAGAATTCCTCTGAAGCTGTCTTCATCGGTTCATTGCTATTCAATCAGCCCCAACTGGTTTCTCAAGTTCCCTGAGAAGATCTCAAATAATTGCCCAAAATAAAGGTCAAATAAATTCAAATAATAATAAATAAGATGTGTTGCAACATTTCAACTCCAATTTCTTTTTCCTGAAGAATCGCCCAAAATCATGTTGGAGTCCGTTGGAGTGGGATTCTCCGGGTGAATTCTGCAGATACACCACCTGCAGGCGTGGAGGCAGCCGAAGCTGAGGCACGAAGGGTTGCAGATGCAAAACTTGCATAACGGTAGTGATATCACGAATTATCACGAAAGCTAGCGGTAGCTAGCTGGAGTTACTCTTGCTTCAGCAAGGGGAGGGGCAGGTCTGAGTCCAACACAGTGATTTTTCACTCGAACCCCTCCGGGGCATTTTGGGGCGGTGTTGGAAGCAGATGGTCACAGGCACAAATCCTGCCAGGTCTCTAGGCAATCTGTATTCAGCATGTCCAAATCCCATCGAAATCCCATCATGTTTCCATGCTCATATGAACCTTAGCTTTCGTTCACCCCCCTTGGGCCTAAAGTTTAATGATACAAATTTCATCAAAATTCGAATATGTCTGAAATTGTTTGACAAAGATGCAAGTATAGGACCTTAGAGAAGATTCAAACATCCAAAGTTCAACGTTCCATCGTGTCGTGGAGCGTCACTCCAAGTAGCACCAGGCCCTGTCAGAGGCGGGGGCCACGGTGGGTCTGGTGAGTGGATTTCCAGAAAAAATTGGAAAATATGTATACGTATAATTATACATATATCATATACATATATATATATATAGTTATATATATAATCATATATATATATATACATAATTATATATATATAATATTATAATATTATATATATATAGGTTACATAGGCATTGCATAGGCACTGCAAAATTGCCCTGCACCCCCATTTTTTGAGTCGCAGGTCTGACTGAACTGCAGGGGAAATATAGATGCTGCACCCCAAAAGTGCAAGCGCCATCTTACCCTCCAGTTCTTGCGCCGATCTTCGTAGCACGTCACCTGGCCTGTCAGGATTCTTCCTCAGAGGCTCGTGTGGGATATGTGAATCGTAGGAACAAAACGAGAAGAACAGAATTGCAAAAACAAATCCATTGAAGCCACTTTGAGGCAGTCAGGGATTCGTAGAAGGATTTTTGGGGAAATTTGGGGAAGAATGTCAATCATATTTGATGAAGACCAGAATGCAAGTGAAACGGAATGAGAAAAATCCCGAAGATGAACAGGTGGCCAGAGCTCAGGATGATAGACACGTATGAGCCTCATGAGATCTCATGAGCACGCAACAAATTTGTCTGAGGGAGATTTTGCAAACAAACTGCTTGGATCTGCTTGGATCTGCTTGGCAAGGAGCTTTAACATGCTTTAACGAAGTGTCAGTTCGTTTTCAGGTGCAACCTGGGCCTTTGGAACGAGCAGTACGGGACCGCCGCACCGCCAGAGTGTGCGTGGAAGATTTCAGTGGCACGGCCCCAGCATGTATTGGAACTGTTTGGAACTAACATATGATTCACATCCCGACAGGTGGCATCTTGTGATACTTGCTTTTGAGTCTTTGGAATCTCCTGCCATCAATCATGAACATCCAACTCTATCATCGGATCATCTCGGATCTTTGTACACCATCACTGTAATACATGTAATACCCATGATGTATCATGATGTATCTATATATCATACATTACTGTATTCATACTGTATATCTATATATTTCTATGTATCTATCATATATATTTCTATATATTCATACTATACACGCAAAATATGTATCATAAAATGCCTTGTATTTCTCATATTTCGCATATTTCGCGTCCAGGACTTGCCTCGGACTTCCGGAGAACTCGTGGCAGCCGCCTTGAGCGCCAGAAGACAGGTGGGGCATGGCGGGGCATTGGCCTCGGTTCATTGCAACGGAATGCCACGATTCGTGGTGCACAAGAAGGAAAAACATGGAAAATCATGGAAAATCGACTGAATCTCTGTGAATCTCTGTGAATCTCTGGAATGTATGCGGAGTGTAATAAGCAAAGATTAGCAAGACATGCAATGCGCAAAGATCGAGGGTATGCGATATGCACGATATGGCTATAGCAGCTATCGATATCTCTCGATGTTGTGATATGATGTGATATGTGTCAGGTGCAAGGGGAACGCGTGCAGGACGCAGAGTATCCGGAGATATTCGGAATGTGCAACGCTTCAGTTTGTTACTAGAAAGATTAGAAAGACCCTAGTAGGATCAGACAGACGAGAGGTGTAACAAGGCTCTTCTCATCCCTCCTCAAAGTCTTGTGAAATCGATTTATCGGGTAGCATTGGAGAAGGGTTGTCGAGTTTGGAGATCAGCCGTCCGAAGCTTCCAATATCTTCCAATCATGCCAGGAGCAGAGGTGTCTTGTTTGCAATTGTGAAACGGTACAGTCCGTGTCGGTCTGGAGCATCAAGGTCAGGCCATGATTAGACTCTGTTGCTAAATCATTCAGATATGGAAGATATGGAAGAATCCATGCTCCGTCCTGATGCTTGGAACGTTTTGTTGTACATCATGTCTAATTGCATTTCCAGTTTTTTTTTTCGGCAGGAGCCGCTTCTGATAGGTGATTCTGATTTACATTCACTTACATCATTTACTTTCTTTATACTTTCTTTAAAAATTCTTGATTCTTACAACTGGGAGTGAGTCAAATCCGTCGACTGAAGTTGACCTCCCAAAGCTGGGTCGAGCATTCCAAGGCAAAGACGACCACGAAGTTCCAGCCAGGACTGCACGGGAACTGCACTGGGATAGACTGGGATAGCAGAGGCATAGGTAATGAAAAAGATAAAATAGGTATAAATACGGTATAAATAGATAACAATACTGAGAACAGTTCTGATGAGTTCTGAACAGTTGATCATCACAGTATAATCTTCACGAAAGATAGTGTGCGTTCTCTTCATTATATTGAAAAAATTGGCCGCTGCCACTACGGGTGTCTTGGGTGCTATGACTGGCTTCTATATGGTGCGGAAACAATTGTACCTGAAGAATGACAGGAATTACAAGTAGCTATCTGGGGTCTATGCCGTTAGTTGTTGCGGTCAAAGTACATTTTTTCCATGTTTTTTCATATTTTTGCCATATTTTTGCCATATTTAGAACTATTTAGAAATGACAAGTCCTATGCACGGCTCCGATTTTTTCGCCAGGATTCGAGTGAAGCCCGCCTGACAGAGCCTCCCAGCGAGGACACGACGCAATCCGATTCTCTGCCCAAGGAAAAAAAACATATAAATGAGAAGAAATGAGAGGAAATGAGAAGACATGGAGACAGCGAGAAAAATGACTGCTCTCAATGTCTGCTATTTATTACTGACTCTCTATTATGGTTTATCCATGTTGAGTCAAGTGTTGAGTTTTTAAAGGGGACGATGTTGTACAGCTGTGCCATCTTTTTTGACTCCTTTAGCGCAATGTGTTTCATGGCTTTTTTTTGACATTCATTGCTCCCCTCACATCGGAATGCCTCACATCGTTTCAGTTTGGTCAGGATGATGCTGATTCCGAGGACATCAGACAACGCGAGGACGGCTGTGAAGTTTAAGACTCTTCAAGATGTCGAACAAAGTTGTTTCCCAAAGGAGATGATTTGTGCGCACCATTTGTTTCGTCTGCTAAGTTACGAGTTCAACATTGAAGGTTGTGATATGATGTATGATTGTTGGGTCAGATGTGCATATCAGGGATCAGGTTTCATACATTGTGTCTAGTTTCCTGGACTAATTTTGTTTTCGTTTTTGCGTTTCTTCTGCAAAAACTAAAGCCATCTGATAGTTTGTTATGCACACTATTTTGGGACAACACTTGAAGTATTGCAAAACATTTCTCACCAAAAATAGCTTCATGTGTCGGGGTGGAGAGATTGTAGTTGCCAGTGTTGTATTTACCAGTCTTCCACATCGTCCACATCGTCCACATCGTCCACATCGTCCACATCGTCCACATCATCCAAATAATAATAATAATAATAATAATAATCATCATCATCATCATGATCATGATCATCATCATCATCATCACCACCATCATCACCATCGTCATCGTCATCGTCATCGTCATCGTCATCGTCATCGTCATCGTCATCGTCATCGTCATCATCATCACCACCATCATCACCATCGTCATCGTCATCGTCATCGTCATCGTCATCATCATCATCATCACCACCATCATCACCACCATCACCGTCACCGTCACCGTCACCGTCATCGTCGTCGTCGTCGTCATCGTCGCCGTCATCGTCATCCTCCTCCTCCTCATCATCATCATCATCATCATCATCATCCTCATGGTCATGGTCATGGTCATGGTCATGGTCATGGTCATGGTCATGGTCATCATCACCACCATCACCTCAATCATCACCATCACCCGGCTGGCATCATCATTGTCATTGCTTTTATGTGCTGCAGTCATGATTAGAGTTGTGAGTTATTGCTGTGAGTGTTCTGCATTATTCTTTTTCCAGCCATCAGACTTGGCATCAGTGATCACTATAGTTGCCATATTGTTGCCATGATCTCCGCTGAAACGCCTGTCGCCCTTGTATTTCCCGTTGACATGCTTTGGAGCGAAGATCTCATTGAGACATTTTTTGCAGTGAAACGCTCGTTGCAGGATGCCGATGATCTCTTCGAAGAGGGCGTCATCGAGGAGCCGCAGAATTCAGCACTCTGTCAGATCTGTCAGCAAGTCTCGGTATGTCTCGGTTCGCAAACGTGTGGGGTCTTCTCTATGATCTCTACGTATCTCTACGTCCGGTGCGCAAACATATCACCTAGTCGCGGTATGTCGCGGTAGTAGTACTTCAAAGGTTGAGTGGCTGGTTGAATTCCCGGTGGCCCGGACAGGTTGGAAGAGATACTTTACGTTTTCAACTGGGTCTTCCACATGAACGCACACACGAGGCAGGGGCAACTGCAAAACTATATCTGTTCTATTCTGTTCTTACTTCTTGTCAACGTGTTGTAAATTCACTGGATATCGCGAGCAAAATGGAACCGTTGATTTCGAAATGACTTGAGGCAAATGCCGTGGGTGACGATGACACTTTTGAGGCAAACTTTGCAAAGTCAGTGCCAGTGCTTGCGTCTTTGCTTGGCTGCAGTTCTCCAGCCATTGGATCCGGTGAGCATTTGCTGTCTAGTGAGTCTAGTGGCAGGACATAGAAGACGAGGACGGGCAGAAACAGATATAAACAGATACAGCTCCCTCTTGGGACATGATAGGATTTAAATGGATTTCATGGGACATTGGCGTTTGAGTTTTTCAACCTGCTGTCAGCCAGCTGTTGCTGTTCTGCAGTTTCAATCCGCTCAATCTACGCATCGAGCGGCCGCAGGAGTTTTTTGAACTTGAGGATCTTCAGGCCACATGCTGGCAACCCCTTTCACCCTAAAGCTGAGCACTTTGGGGAGAGGCAGCGAGAGGCCTTTTGACACAACATTTGCACACATATTTTGGCCCAGTGCAGGGTTTGTCCTCCGTCATGAGAATTCCAGGTGGCATTGACATGCCAGGATCTGGACGAGAGCTGCGCGGAAGTTCCCAGTGTTCTCAACGCCTGAGGACCCAAGCTGTTTGTCAATCTGAGTCCGAAAATGATGGAACAGTAATTCATTGTATAATATTGACGATTAATTTTGTATAATCACACAAAATCACTGTAAGATTGATATTGGTTGAAGGTCTTACTTTAGCTGCGCAATGTGGACATGAATCTGCCAGGAAACCCACCTCTGAATGCTGAGAAGCAACGTGCAGACTGCCCAAATCCTTCATCCTGAAGGTCGCTTCAAGGCAATGATGGCAATGATCATGAAATATCATAAAATATCATAAATCAATAATATAAAATATAACATAATATAACACATATACATATAATGAAAGAATATTCCCACCAAATCTGGTGACTGTTGTTTCTGTGCTTTGCTTGAAGATTGGAAACTGTTGGGAAACATGTCGAAGATCCTGCGGGAGAAGGATGCGGCACCCGGATACAGAAAATTCCTACGGCTGCAGAGATGAGATCATGGATAAGAAAGCATGGCCACAGCTGCATGACCAAGATGTCCCGAATTGTCCCAAGCTAATAAAAAGTAAAGACTCTGACATGGTAAAGTGATAAGTGGCAGATTGTGTGATTTGACTCTGCTGCCTTAAACCCAAAAACGGGAGGAGCCACAAGCTGTGAATGGAGTCGCACGTAGTCACGCCTAGTCACACCAAATAAAGATGATTACAGGAGATTTAAGGGAACTGCTCCACTCCGGTGCTTTCTAATCTTTTCTATACGTAAGGTCAATGTGAGACACAAAGTCAGGAGGTCCATTTGGTAGCACATTTCAATCCTTGACCTTCGACAGACATTCATGGGGTGGTGCCACCGGCGAGTTTTTTCGGGTACGTACGGTACAACTAGACGATTTCAGCGCTGAAAGCGCCGATCTCTCCTTTCACCATGACATCGCCAAGTGCCAGGATGTGGCTGGAAATAGAAAAACAGATCCAGTGCATCCGGTGGTGTGTGGCATCCATGCTGCGTAACATAGTGACGATCTGTGTGATTATTGTATCAGCCAAAGGTAGTTCAATTGACTTGCTATAGTATGATTAGTATGATTTAGATTGATTTAGTATGATTTAATATCACTTAGTAAAGTATCACTTGGTGATTTTGACACTTTTTTTGTATATCAGCTCGCCCTCGCCGCTGTGAGGCTTTGCCTTGTGGGGAGCAGAGAAATCCGATCTATGCAGACAATGCAGACAAGACCAAGCATACATAAGATATCATGTGCATACTTTGAATCGACCATATTTTGCCTGAGATCCGGGTATTAATATATAATTAATAATTATGCAAAACATGTCTCACATTTCTCACGTTTCTCGCGCTTCTCACGTCTCAATGGGCAGTCGACGCCCCACGTTAGTGCAGAACACGCAGGATCTGGACATGGAGGAGCTGCTAAGTATCAGACTATTGAGACTCTGAGGCAGTCCGCCCTTCCGTTGCCTATCTCTTTGTGACTTGATGGACTTGGTGCAACCGCGAAGGTATCTTAGAAGTCTCTTGATAAATTCATTATCTTGATATCTATTGATATCTTATATAATCTTATGACTTCTGGATCTTGATTGAGTACATCTCATCGTAGATGAGGCTTTCTGCTTCCAATGTGCTGCAGCATTTGTCCTGGGCAAGTTGGCCCCGCAGGATTCTGCGGAGCCACGTGTTCAAGCAGAGAGCAGTGAAAAAAGCAGCGACAAGGCGGACAGGCGCATGCTGAAAAATCCCAGTGCCACCAGGTCACCCACCAGGTCACCATCCACTATTTCAATCTATTTCACTATGCCACCATTAAGATCATTAAGAGCCCACATGTTGAAACCCAGAGACTCAAGAGTCCGAGAGAATGGATTTATGACTGGATGTGGTATGATGCACTTCCATATTTCATTATTTAATGTGACATAATGTGACCATTGTTATGAAAGTCGTTGGACATGGACATGTTAGAGTCTTCATGACGGTAGGGTTTGCCGCCAGGAAGTCGATGAATCCAAGGTGGGTCGACTGTGAAAAGTTGGGGACACCAACTGGCTTGACAGCGGCGTTGATAGCTCCGGTAGCAGCAAGTTACAACAAGGATTTGAGCTCGGGTCACATGATGTCACATCCTTTAACTATTTTAACATATTTTAACATATTTTAACTGATCCCTTTTGCCACCAGGAAACATGTTACAATCAGCGATGAGCAGTCAACTCTGACCTACGATCCAGAGAAACCGTCAAGATCTTAGCTCGACGCCAATTTTTCTCCGTTTTGAACAATTCGGAGGTTGTCTTTGGTTGTCTTCGGTCCCGTTGTGCCCCTCCCTGGAGCCAGGTCGACTCAGGCACCACCAAAGCCGGCCGTGACGCCAGGGCATCCCAGGGCATCCCAGAGCCATCACCAGACACCAGACATTCGGCAAGTGACGATATGTGACGATGTTGACGGACTTTGACGGCATGTGACATATTGTGACATGGTGACGTGGTGAAGAGTTGGTTTGCACAGTGAATACAGTGAGATACAGTGAGCACAGTGCACGATTACGATGTAGTGAGTCTGTGTACAGTCTGTGTCCTGTGACTCTGTGACATGTCCCAGGTATCAACCTTCCAGGCGATCAGAAGTCTGGGACAACAGATATGGTGTGAAGCTGGCCTGTGGCATGTAGCATTTCGACATAAAACTTTTAAAACGTGGTCCACGGCTGTGAATTGCATGAGGCTTGCGTGGAGCTCATGCAGTTGTTGCTTCTATTTTTCCTTTTCGTATCCTTTTCGTCCATTCATTTTTGTCTCGATTTGTTGTCTTTATGACATTACAGTACATTACAGTGATTACAGGGGCCGAGCTCCAAAGACTACGAACCGAATCTGATTGCAGTTCTGTGCCAGGGACATGATGATTCAGATGATGAGCAGGTTCCGTCACTCATTTCTGCTGTCACATCTGTCACATGTGTGCTAATGTGACATATATCAGACTGTCCAAGAATGGATGCTGCAAAATTACGCCAGGGTATACATAGAAGATATTAGCATAGTACATTGACGGTTGACGGTTTCACACGGATTCACTTTGCACAGCACAGGACAGACGAGGACGAGGCATGCAAAACTTTGAGATCCACCAGCCCAGGCACCGACTCTGAGCATGTTGAAAGATGTTGAAAGTCTGGGAAAGATCGTGAGAATTCCCAAAGGAAGAGCCCTCGGCTCTGCAGGATAGTGTCTTTGTTAGGACATTACATCCATAGGTCCCTATCGACTGAAAATACATTGGAATATACATACTAGTGAGATATTACATGAAATATGATTGATATTATACATTGGAATATATATTAGAAAATTATAGAAACACTAGGATCATTGTTTTTTTTGGTTCATTGTGTGTTTCAAAGGCCATGCGAATGCATGGGTCACCCATGCCAGGAATGCCCAGACGAATGATCGGTGTGATCGCTGCACGGATCGCTGCACCGATCAGTGCACTGTGATGTGACCTCCCAAGACATCCCTCAAAAGACGAGCAAATCAGTGACGCAATGACATGGATGACATGGATGACATTGGATGACATTGGATACCATGGTGTTTGGGGCGTTTTTTTTTGCAAATATTGTCTCTCATAGCCGTTGTCAAATGTGGTTGAGATTGATGAATGGCACTACAGAGAGGATGGTGCGAATTTTTGGATAGGTTAAACGGGTTTTATGGCCTCGAGCTGGTCGATTGTTTTGGCTTCGTTTCAGCATGTTTCAGCTGCAAGTGGCTTTGAGTGCTGCTGGTGTTTTGCACAATACACACCATGTCCATCAATGTCCTGGATGAATCAAAGTTTTCTTTCCATCAGAGGCCAGCAACCTTTCACTCAAAGCCTTGCTGTTTCACTCAGAAATTCCACAGAGTGAAATTAAGATCGCGGAAGATGCCCCAGCGGCTTCAAGTGGCTGAGTCTACGCCGTAGAATGCGTGGCTGAAAATGATGGCGCAGCAAGTTGATTGGCAGATGCCATTAATGTTGAAGCCAGCCACTCGGACCACTCTCAGACCATCTTAGACCATCTCTGACTCAGACCACCTCAAGGTATTTTTGTATTTCACATGATATATAGTAATAATATAAATATATATAATATTATATTATATATATATGATTCAATGATGTATATATTGATATATAGCATGATTTGACATGATGCCTGTAGGTGAGACTGAAGTTCGCCAGCACATCTTAACTCGAGGGGCAGGGCTTCCAGGGCCCATGGATCGGAGAAGTAGAAAGGTTGGATGTTTGCTGTTTTATGTGCAGTAGGAAACCGATGTTTCAGCTGTAAGGGTGAAGAGAAAGAGGGTTGGGAGTAGGCAAACACAATGTGGCATCAGGCAGCGCTCTGCGCTCTCCCTTTCTCTCCCCTCTCTCTCTCTCTTTCTCTCTTTCTCTTTTCCTTTTTCTTTCTCTACTTCTTCATAGATGTCCCATTCTTGCCATTCTACGTTTGGCTGTTCCTATTGCGAGTTCATGCCATTTCCGAGACAACGTACTTTCATCATCTTTCATCATCTATCTACTGAGTCTACTGAGTCTACTGTTTTTCTTTCTTTTTCTTTCTTTTTCTTTGTTGCAGTGGAGATGCAGTGGAAGGGTTGGCTTTTCAGGGGGCCTACCTTTCTTTCGAGCCTTGTTTTTTCAGCTGAGGTTTACACGGCAAAACAACTGTTGGCTCAGAGAAGGTTGGGATCGGTTGGGCGAAGTTTTTTCTCTCATATCATATATTATATATATATTATATAATATATATAATATATGATTTTGATCTTCTTGGCCTTTGCACCTTTACAGCTACTTACAGCCCATGTCTTGTCCTTCGCTTTCTTCGCTTCCCCTTCCCTTCCCCTTCCTGCGTCACGAAACCTAGCTTGCTATCTGGGGTCAGCTTTGCTTTAGCGCATGTATCGGGGGCTGCTTGCACGTAGAGGTGGATTTCTTGTGCGGCTTGGAAGATGCCCCTTCAAAAGATAAACCGGTTTTACAGAGGAACCAATAGGTGAAGAAGGGCCCTTATAGAAATTCCTGAGGTTTGCCAAGGAATCTGGATGCATTGCCTCGACAGCAAGCTGGCAACGATATAAAATGTTTGAAACAATTTATTCCCATCTCGTCAAGGCACGTCATCAGATCTAATCCTGGTATATCCTGGTATTATAAGAGATGGAGCACAAGGCTGCAACAGTACGAGCATGAGGTATGGTTTCATAAGTTCCAACGTGTTGCGGGTATAAAGCAGCAGTTGTCCACTGGTGTGGAGCAGGCTCTTGCCAACGCCATGCTTTCATTTTTGTCAGAAGTTGTTTTAAGAACTGATGTGCCTGGGGGCTTTGAGAACAGAGGTTGGAAACACACAGAGATTCTTGCAGATTTGGCACATGTGCATATTTGCTGTTGAACGTTTAGTTATCTCTGTTCAAATCGGCTTGCGGCGCCATGTCCAAAATGCCAAATGCTCAGATTTTTTTCAACGCAACCATGAACAACAGTTCCAATAAATTGTCTCAGCATGTCTCCATATGGCAGTTCCATGCGGCAAACCACGGTGAATCATGGCGAGCTGAGGCGTTGGAGTTTGCTGCTTTTCCTGAGCGCGCGCTCAGGGGCCCAACGGTTTGGCTGCACTCAGACAGTTGATCCTGGGATATTCTGGGCGCAGTGGGCGGGGTAGGGCGCACAATTTTCAAGTGTTATTCGAGGTTGCCTTTGATGCTGATGTGTTGATGTTGACAACATTGATGTTGACAACATTGCTCCCTCCATCGCACACCTCCAAGGACACGAAGTCCAGGGGTTTGAAGGTGCTTCAAACTTCGACAACCAATGAGGAAACTTCTACCGCAGGGATTTTTTTGCTGGGCCCTTCTGCTGCGTTTTTGGATCAGATTCTGCCTATTCTGCCTGGTCGAGCTCAGTTGCACCCACTGCCAGGATTTCTGCAGCAATATGGAGACCACCGACTCAGTTGGAGAACTGGTGGATAGCTGTTCGGCTTTCTGCGGAAATGGCAATATCCCACTTCTGGTCATGCCCTTATGGCCTTGTGGCATCTTGTTGCAGCCCTTTCTATTCCTTGCAACAAGCTGGAGACATTGAATCAATATGAATCAATATGAATCAATAATGAGCTGTCCATGCTGAGTCACTCTGAGGTAGGGATTCCCTCCTATGGTTTCAGCCATGCAGATATTGACACAGTTTGCCTTGCAGACGAGGACTCCTTGGCCCAGTGACCATCCAAATGGTTGTGAAGTCTCAGTTTTAAAATCTTATGACATTTGTATGCAAATGAGCTGTCATGGGCTGCATGGGCTTGGGCCTGGGCTTGAGTTTCTCTTTCAGAAATCGACATAATCGACCAGATTCGACGATTCTACCAGGTACAATCCCACGAAGATGAACGATTGCTCGAATCTGAGGGAAGTTTTCCAGCGGATTTGCGGGTTTCTGCAGTGTCTGGTTTCCCAGGTCGAACGTGGTCACAGGCCCTGCGGCTGATCAACACGAGGGCGGCAGCGCTGGTGGCTGCTTTGGACAATATGACTATGGCGCAGCTGAACTTCAAAACTGGCATAGCGACCAAATCCAAGGAGAGAATCTGCGAGAATGGAACCACGACAGATGACATGAAATGACAGATATACAGAAGTTTGCACTGAATGCCAGGTTTGAATCCACGGCCTTGCAAGATTTAAGGGGATACCGAGATACACTGAAGTGCTGTTCAGAAGGTACAGCCTCTAAGTATAGTCCTGAGTCTCTGAACATTTGGTCTTGTGAATGTCGGCAGCATCCGGAAACTCTATGTCCATGTGTTTCCATCAAATCACCACTCTTGCAAAAAATGTTGCGCGTTTGGTGTGACTTGCATGTATACTGTATACAATCTGTGTATATTACATATTACATGTGAAAGCAAGAGACCTGGCATAAGTCCGTCGACCGGGAAGGAACTGGCAGCTACCATGTCCTCAGAAGAAGTGAAGAATCGGCTCTTGGGCGCAACTCAAAGTCACCTGACAGCAGAGTCGAAGATGGGTGGCAGAAAGCGGCGTGCCAAGAGTGGTGGTGCCAAGAGTGGTACATGGTGGTGCCATGTGGTGCCATAATGATGCCAGGACTTCTAAATCGTACTGTTTCGAGTTGCTTGCATCCACCGCACCTGTCGGCTGAAGGTCAAGTGATTCCCGAATATCGTTCCATCTTGGAAGCTGGAGTGGAAGACTTCTTATCCAATGGCAAGTTCAGGCTGGCAAATGGCAAGCACGGAAGCGTATCAAAGCGCTCAGACTCTCTGATCATGCCCATAATCTTTCTACATCTTTCTACAGTGTCCATGTGCCACGGTCATCAGTCCATAAATAGAAATTGATATACCAATCGTATCCAATCGTTAAGATTCCCATCAGGGATGACCGTGAACCGTATACAGTTGGCTACCCGGCTACCCTATCTACGCTCGCTATTCTTTTCTTCCTCAAAACGGAAAAAAGTTCAGTCCACCGCTAGATGCCGCAAACAAATTTTAAATATCCAGCCGTGAGGCAATGTGTATGTGAGATAGCAGGTGTCTCAAATGAGTGTCTAGTGCCGTTTGGTGCAACTTGGAGTCAAACACGGAGAGCCATGGAGTTCAGTTGGAGCTTCCACATTCTGATTCTGATCAGCTTTTCATGTAGCTGTTGTTCAGCATAAAACACCTTTGTAAGAATGATTTCTGCGATGCGCTGGGAACTTTCACTCCACCCACCTTACCCCAGATTCTTGAAGGGCGATAATGATAAGTGCGCAAACATGACCGTCCAGTGACCTCCCTGAAGCATTCCCATTGGTATCAAACCTATCCAGATCCCATCAAGCTTGAAGATAGGCTTAGTAACTTAGCAATAGCTAGCATACTATGCATACTTAACATATCAACTTGTCTTGTTTCCTCCAGGAGAGATCTTCAAGACACAATGGAGGCAGGACATGGCAGGACCATGATTTGCTGAGACAAGGTGGAAAGAAGGTGGAAAGAAGGTGGAAAGAAGGTGGAAAGTTAGCAATAGGACGATTGACAAAATATGCCAGAAACATGGCAGAAATGGCAGAATTGAGACCTACCTATTGGATCCTATTGGATCCTATTGGATCCTGCTCAGGTCTTGCGTGGCGCAGGTCGAAATTTGGATGCTGTATTGACCACCAATTTGCCACAGCTCACCAAATTTGTGGACCCTTGGAGCCAAATAAGTTCAAATAAGCTTCTCCTTGTTGTGAAGTCGGCCCAAGAGAATGGAACCAGCGACTAATTCTGTTGCTTGGCAAGTATCTTGACTCGATGTCCACATGGCTCGTGTTTCATAGCACTGGATTGAAACGGCGAGAAACTCAAGGAGCAATGTGGTGATCTTCTGGTCTCGACTGGCCCAAGCAAAGAATATCTCCTGGACATTTGCATTCAGAGAGGAGCTGTTTGTTTGGACAATGCTGAAGCGCAGCATATTGGCTGCTGCTGTTCAACCATTCCACTAGGCACGGAAAAAGGGAGAAAAAAGGAGATGAAAGGGAGATCAGTGCTAATGAGAGGAATGTACCGGTTTTGAATATTTTGTTCCACAGACAACAGCTCAAAAGCCTTACCTGCTAAAAATGCACCATTGCGGTCTTTTATTTGCCAGGAGAACAAATCGTTGGTGTTTCGTACTGTCAGATCTCTCCCTCTGTTTGCAGGTGGAACCTTTGGCATCACTGGAGAGACTGGTGGGGATCAAGCCAACAACAGTCGCCGGCTCCAAATGACCGACATGTGTTGGCAACATTTGGCAATTGTATGCAATTGTCAATGTTCAGAAGAGACGGGCATTGACAATTTTAGAGGCCTCAACATGATCTACTACAAACATGAACAAACCACAATCCCAATTTCAGATTTGTGGCAGGACCGAGGGACCTGTGGACGTTTGTGCTGAGGCAGGGGGTGACTGCGGATGCATCTCCTGGCGAAAGATTTCGTGAAGTAATGTGAATGAAGTTTGGTGATGGTAACTGCCGATGAAACATGCTAAAACATGCTAAAACCATCTAAAATCAGCAATGTTGCTCATTGTCTCTCCCTTGTTGAATAATTTCAAAATACATCAAATCGTAAAATTCGTGAACGACATCACGCAAAGGACATCCAGGGACCATCCAGGGACTTTTTGGACACGGTCCAGGCAGATGTACTCTTTGGCCCTGAACAGACGCGGCGACAAACCGAACTGCAAGCTACCGACGATGGTACAGCATTGCTGGAGGCCATGAACAGAGATAGATAATATTAGAGAATGGGATCACGGTCTAGATTAAATCACCAATCTGGATGCCAAAATTTGCATTTTAAAAGTGACCTTCGTACAGCGGCAAAGTTGCGGATTGAATCTGTTTTCATACACATCTCACCACTTTCCACTAGATCAAGCCTGACACTGGGCGTCCAACATTTACATTGCCCTTCACGAACTGAGGCCCACTTGACGGCTCTGAAGGCTGCTTATCCTGACTACTTCTCAGCAAGCAACTGCCGAAGCAGGCACACGCTTGACGACCGTAAGACATCGTAAGACTACGCATTAGAATCATTAGAACATTCGACAACATTCGATTCATTTAAATGCTCGTGGATTCTCATCTCCAAAATACTGGAAAAAGAAGGCTGGAATATTGGCATTCTCAACAAGCGATGCAAAGACGTATTCGAATTGTTTGATTGAATATGATTGAATAATATTGGTTGATAATTTTGATAATGAATGTTTCATGATGACTAAAATGATGACAATATGAAACATTCAATGTCCATATTATGTCCATGTCGTCCCTTCAACGAGGCGCCTATCGGCTGAAGAGATCGAGGTGCAGACAGAGGCCACGCAACCTGGCAACCGGCTCAAAGCAGCTACTCGGCTTGACCCGGTTTCACCCAGACCGTAGAGATTTTCTACATTGCCATGACTTTGCCATGACTTTGCCATGACTTTGCCATGACTTTGCCATGACTTTGCCATGACTTTGCCATGACTTTGCCATGACTTTGCCATGGTGTCCAACATGTTCAACACACAACTCTAATTCTGAACTATTCTGGCTTTTGGCTGTGGCATGGGAAAATTCTGCTAACATCAGGGGTAGCCCAGTTCACACTGAGAGAAAGTCTCGAAATATGAATTCAGCTGGAGACAAATCCACTTGGACTTGGTCGCGCAGGAAGTGCTTCCGCATGCAGCACCACGCGCTTTGGAAGCATTGGAGTAGGGAAACATCTTAAGACAGAGGCCCAAAACCATGTGGAAGCAGCACGCCACCTGAACGAAAAAGACATGTTTGATTTTGACGGCAGCAAGGAAACTCTTTTGTTTAAGGGCTTACGCCTGACAGCCGGGCGCCGGCAGAGAAACGGCCTGAAGTCAGTGTAGGGAGCATGCTGCGCTCATGTTGAGGCTATGTTGGCGATATCTTAGACCATCCCGGATTGAAGGGCCGCCCTTGGGTCCATGTTGGGCCAGGTTGGGCCCATCTTGGGCCTATCTTGGGCCCATGTTGGGCCTATGTTGGCCTATGTTATTGGCTCTATGTTGGCCCTATGGGCCTATGCTAGCCCTATCTTGGCCTATGTTGGCCCTGCCTTGGCCCTATGTTGGCCCTATCTTGGCCTATGTTGGCCCCATGTTGGCCCATCTTGGGGCCTATGTTGAGGCTATGTTGGCGATATGTGAGACCATCTCTGTTGAAAGACCTCCAAGATGCCAATTTTTCCTTCCCGGACGCCTCCACGGAACCAAAAACCACGTAAAAACTACGTTTTTTTTTACTTTCGCCAGCCAAAAAACTGTGATCGTCCAAGCGCGCAAAACACCGTAAAAAAACGATGTTTTTGTGACCTCACGCACACACGAAACACCGTGCGGTGACTTTGGTCGGTCGGGCTAGTTCAAGCGTGGGTCATCGGCTGGGGGGCAGCGTATATAACCTTCAGTTACCACCGAAGGCCTCCGGGCAGCACACGGGCCCGTGGCCGGGGCCTGGGGACAAGGATCGCGCTTGCGAGTGCACCAAACATCATGTAGACGCTGGGACGCCATGGCAATGCAACGTATGCATGTCGAGGACAATTTTCCACAAAAACATCGCCAACGGTAGTGTAGTTTTTTCCGTGTGTGTTTGACATGCGAAGCCAAGAAACCATGTTTCAAATGTGGGGTTCCCAAGCCAGAGAAAGACTATGGCCCTGCCGCCTGGAAAGCTCGCAATGCTGACCGACGCTGTTGCGACTGCGTCGTAAAGCTGCGGGAGTATTATTGGTCTTGCGCGCAACGCTCAAAACGAAAGCCACAGGCAGAGTTTACTGCTTTAAAGCCGCGATTACAGTCAAAATGGTACGCAACTTAATTTGCAACACGTCCATCAGCTTAGCCTTGGTGTGTCAAATTGCCCGTCGCGCGAACCAACGGTTGACACCGTTGCGGCGACGTGAGAAAAGTCGACGGCAACAAGCCATCATAGACGAAGTGCGCCAAGAAATTCTGGAAAGGACAAGGCAGAAAACCACGAACGCGTTCTCCCAAGAAATGCAGAGCTGCAAAGAGCGACTGCCAGATTGCGCAACAGGTTGTGTGCGCCCTGGTGCTGCCCCAGCCGGACGCGAAAACGAGAACAGGTGCACCGGTACCAATGTCCATTCTGCCAGCTGCCAGCTTGCTCGCATCCTCTTGCAGCTGGATTTCGGCCTGCACAGCTCCGGTCAAAGGACCATCTTGTAGGGCCAAAACACCATGGCAGTGACGGACGGATCGGGCCCATGGGCTGCAACCCATAGTGCCAAACGTTGCTTTCTGAACTGACTAGAAACTAGCTTCAAAACTTCGATTTGCTTGCCCTCCTGCACTGCCAGCTGCCAACTTGCTCGCGTCTCTTGAAGCAGGCTGCGCAGCTCCGCGGTCAAAGGACCCTCTCGCAGGCCCAAAACACCATGGCAGTGACGGGCGGATTGGGCCCGCGGCCGGCAATCCATGGTGCCAAACGCTGCTTTGTGAACTGACTAGAAACCAGCTCCAAACTGCACCTTTCAGGCCTCCAAAACGGCCCGCTCACCACACCGAAACAGCCCGCTACTGAAGGACGGATCGTGCCATCGGCAAACCGCTGCAGGTGCCTAACGTTGCTTTTTCTGACGCGACTAGAAACTAGCTCCAAATTCCAGCTTACAAGCCTCCAAAGCCTTGGCCTCGCAGCACCGAGACACCATGAAACTAAAGGACGGACGTGCGTCGGCACTTTGACACTTGCTGCGTGTAATTGCTTCATCTTCTTCTTCTTCTTCTCTTCTTCTTCTTCTTTTCTTCTTCTTTTCTTCTTCTTTTCTTCTTCTTTTCTTCTTCTTTTCTTCTTCTTTTCTTCTTCTTTTCTTCTTCTTCTGCTTCTTCCTTGCTTGCTTCTTGCTCCTGCAGCTTGCTCCCGCTCCTTCTTTCTTTTGCCTCTTGCTTCCTGCTTCTTCCTTTCTCTGTGTTTTTCTTTTTCTTCTTCTTCTGTTTCTTCCTTACTTGCATCTTGCTCGTGCCGTTTGATTGCTTTCTCCATTTCCTTTTTTTAGACTTGCTAAGCATTTTTCCTTTTGTGCCGGCACTTTGACATTTGCTGCGTGTACGACTTGCTGTAATTGCTTCATCTTCTTTTTCTTCTGCTTCTTCCTTGCTTGCTTCTTGCTCGTGCAGCTTGATTGCTTTCTCTTTTCCCTTTTTTTAAACTTGCTTAACTTTTTTGCTTTTGCGTCGGCACTTTGACACTTGCTGCGTGTACGACTTTCTGTGTGTAATTGCTTCATCTTCTTCATCTTCTTCTTCTTCTTCTTCTGCTTCTGCTTCTTGCTTCTTGCTTCTTGCTTGCTTGCTCCTTGGTCGTGCAGCTTGATTGCTTTCTCCTTCCCCTTTTTTAAGGCTTGCGAAACATTTTTTGCTTTTGCGCTGGCACTTTGACACTTTCTGCGTGCACGACTTGCTGCGTGTAATTGCTTCTCTGACGCGCTCCCCTGCTGTCGGCAGGGGTCGGCAGATTTTATTCAATTGTTTGAATCAACCATGCAGGGTCCAAGTCGTAAAAGGAAAGTGTTCGGAAGTCATCTTCGTGTTTCATCAGTTTCGAATCATTGTGGCCCACCGAGGAAACTTGAAGCTCGACGGACTTACTTGTTCCCCGCCAACAGCCACCCAGGGAGATACCAGCTACAAGGCAGATGTGCACAGATGTGAAGTGGGATGAAGTGGGTATCCGCAACTTCAGGACAGAGACATGCGGACCTCAAAAGAATTGCTGTGATTTGACATGATTTCATACGGACTGGTGCAACTGCACTACATTCACACCACCAGACTTCTCAGCATTCTCCGCGTTTTCCGCCCTAGTCCTCGATATCCCCCACTACAGGCTGCATTTTGGGCGCAGACAGAAGAGAATTATTGCATTGACATTCCGCCAGACACTGGAAGCGTTGCTTGGGCAGTTTTAGCGGATGTTGTTTGGTAGTTCGGTTTCGATCTTGCAAAGGATTTGAAACAGTGCTCACAGGTTGGATGACACGCACAAAGCAGTGAAGTGTAACACGCACAAATCGAGAAGTGCTTGCATCATGGACATGTGAACATTGGTGAAATCACCATTGCATTCAGGCCCAAATAGTTCAGACAAAAAGGCATACGCGTCCGTGCTGTGATTTTCTTTGCGTGGTGGCGGAGCCGAACACCGGCACTGCTGATTTCTGAACTGGACTGGCCATTGGGAGTTCAACAGTGGTCACTACAAGGTTTTTTTTTCTCCTGTCTACATCACCAAGTGATTCTTGCTGCAGTGGATACAGGTTAAGCAACGCAGATGGAGCCTCAAGGTGGAAGCCCTACAGGCCAAGCTGATGGATCGCCCCAAGCAGCTTTCAATGGAGCAGAGGTAGCATTGAGGATGGTTCAGGCTGCAGAGAGTGCTGCAGCTGCAGTGACCGCGGCTCAGAGTCTTTTGAGTCGGCATGGTGCAGAAGACTCCAAAAGCTGGTGGAAGTTGTTGCCGAAGCCGCCAGTCTTCGGCCATGGGAGTCGAGAAGCAGAAATCTCAGCGTGGAGAGAGTGGAGCTGGACATTCGAGCAGTACATTTCATCGGTGGACCCAAAGTTTGCAGATGACATTCAAAGCGTGCGGGCTGACTTGGACCGCAGTGTTGACCCAGTGGATTTCTAGATGCAGAGAAACAGCGCAATACTTTCTTCTACAGCATGATTGCCCCGCTGCTGAGACAAAGGGCGCTGTTGGTGGTACGTCAGGTGACTGGGTGCAATGGGTTGGAGGCCTATCGAACTCTGATCCTACAGAATGAGCCAGTTAGCAAAAACCGCAGTATGGGCTTGCTGAATGTGAAAATGAACTGGCCCACTTTTAGCAACAAAATGTCGCAGATGCAGAACGTCCTCAAGCTGGAACATGCCTACTCTGAATATGAGAAGCTGGGAAGTCGTTTGAATGACGATTTGAAGACTGCAATTCTCATGAGGGGTGTTACAGGGCAGCTCAAAAGTTTGGCTTCAACTGCAGGCCAACGAGGCCACAACCTACAGCAAGGTCAGAGAGATGATTTTGCGCTATGACACCTCTACAACGCGCTGGAGTGAGCAGATGGTTCTTGGCGTTGATGGGGGTGGAACTGGCGATGGCCCGACTCCAATGGAGATCGACCGGATTGAGAAGGGCAAAGGAAAAGGAGGTGGAAAAGGAAAGCAGAAGGGCAAGAATGACGGCAAAGGCAAAGGCAAGGGAAAACAGAAAAGAAAAAGTGATAGTAAAGGCAAACAGAAAGGTGGTGACCAGAAGGGCTTCAAAGGTGGTGCTGGTGACAGATCCAAGGGAAAAGGGAAGACAGATGGCAAACAGTGTTAAAATTGCGGACGCAGTGGACGCTTTGCCAAAGACTGTTGGCAACAGCAGGTACGTGCAATTCCTCAGAGCTACGCTGGACAATCATCAGATGTTGGCACAGCTCAGCAGTCAGTTGTGCAGGGATCTCAAAGTTCTTCTACAGGTGGGAGCTTCCCGCAGGTGACATCAAGGTGGACAAGGTCAACAAGGACATCAACAGGCTGGACAGTTGCACGAAATCGTGTTGCTAGGGTTGTTGAAGACAGTGCAGGCGATCTGGTTTTCGATTTGACAGCTGGTTCTTGTGACAATGGATCAGTGCGTGTGATGCATTTTCGTATTGGAGATGATGACGATGGTGACAACAGCTGCGCCAACTTCCCAATTGGAGTGAGGGCAATTGTTGAAGAGATTCCAGATGACTTAACGCTGGAAACCATACTCGACTCAGGGGCCGATGCCTCAGTTTTTCCAATGACTTTGATGGATGCAGGAATGCCGATCAGTCCAAAGGGCACCAAACTATGCAACGCACAGGGCAAAACAATCCCAATTGAAAGCATGAGGCTAGTGGAAACCAGGCTTCCTACTTCAACTGGACGGTCAGTGGTGCTGAAAGAGAGGGTTGCTATCTCTTCCAAAGTATCTCAGCCAATCTTGTGCTTTGGACGCCTTCTCGAGCAGGGTTTTGGCATAGATGGAGTTGAACAAGCTCTTGTCCATGGAGGAGGCCAGGTGAACATACCACTTCAAATGCAAAACAGGAGCATGACAGTTTTGGGACATGTGGGAGTGAGAGTGCTTCAAGCAGCAACTAACCAAGAGGTGCCACAGATGGTTAGGATGGTTCGAGCTGAGGTGGACCAAGCGTTGATCAACAGCCCGATTGGATGGTCAGTAAACCACTTTCGGTATATCGTTGGGATGCATATGAGCATGGAGTTCAGAGAATCAGAGGTCTTGCTGGAAGTATCATGCATGGGTTGCAAACGAAGTTGGGAGTTACAGTGGGCTCCAGTCATGCCTTGTGGACTTGGTGTATTTGGCATTCTTCTTGGATCCTCAACAGTTACAATCCTCACCAATGCGCGCAGCCTATGAGGTGGTCTATGGAACGCCTTATACAGGCCAGATTTGCGAGTACAGTGAACCAGCGCTTGGCTTTGCAAAATCACCCATGAAAGGCAATCCACGTTGGCACAGAATGTTGTTCTTGTGCAAGGTTGACGGCCAAGACAGTTTCCTTCTCTTCAATGGGACCTCTTTGATCCTCACACGTTCTGTACATAGGGTTCGAACATGTTCGAACCAACTGGACTTCACACATGGATCTTTGCAAAGAGTTCAATTTGTACCCATGGCAATACTAAGTTGGTTTTGGTGGAAGAGTGGTGCCTACAAAGCGCAGAGTGACTCTAAAAGCCGTGGGCTTCGCACCACCAGTTGGAATCATAGAGCCCAGCAAACTTGTGGATGAGGATGCAGAGGCTGTGAAACAGAAGGCCATTGAGGAGAAACAAGAGGAAGACGAGCTTCAAAGAGTCTCAACTTTTGACAAACCTCGTGAGATTCAGCGTGAAGTTGAGTTTGGTGATGGGCGTTTGTTTGAGGAGGAGATTTCAGAACCTTAAGCAGATGCAGTGATTTGTCAGCCAGTGGTGGAAGGTCCAACAGCAGCCGCCAGCAGTGGCATTTCGAGTTCAGCAGCAGCCTCAAGTCTTTTGCCTTCAAAGCCTTCAAGTCTTTTGCTATGGGTTGGATGTTCCAGCCACTCCTCAACAAGTCGCTGGACAAGCAGTTCCTGGTAGTCCAAGAGACTCTCCGACTAGCAGGGCACACGCAGTTGACGCTGAAGGAGGTGAATCGAAAAGAGCCAAAACAGAAGAGCATAAGAAACAGCGCATCAATCGTTTGGCCGAGGAGCAAGAGGCAATGATTCCAACAGCGCAGTTTGGCACTGAGACCTACCACACTCTGGACTCCTGTGATGCGGAATTTCAGGAAGATGCTGAGAATGCGGATGATGTTTGGATTGGAGAGGATGATCTCTACTTTGCTGGTGTCACTGAGCAACTCTGGAGTGACCACGACTTGGGTCAACAATCACCACCTCCTGCTGCGGAGATCGATCGCCTTGCAGATGAAGTTGAGATTCAAATTCAGCGCCTTTTAGAAATGCAGGTGTTGGTGGAGCCTAGCTACTATGATGGTCAAGTTACAAGTTCATGGACGCCTGACAACGAAATTTGTCAGGGACTGGCGCAAGAAGTTGTATGTCGGAGAAGTGGAGAAGGCGATTCCAGAGAAAGATGGATGAGGCGCAGTAGGTTGGTTGCCAGAGAGTATGCAGTGACCAAGCGAGACGATACTTTCTCGCAAGCGACAGGGGCGCATACATCAAATTTGTTGCCTCTACTCTACTTGGAGCGCAAAGCTGAGGCGCATGGCCATGAAAGCAACTACAAGTCCGCCCTTGTAAGCCTTGACATCAAGGACGCCTTTCTTCAGGTGCCTCAAGCTGAACACACGATGGTGGATCTCCAAGGTAGCCCTTTCATCATTCTGAAGAACCTTCCTGGACAACGCCAGGGCTCACGTGCGTGGTGCTGGCTTTTCCGCAAGTACTTGGAGGACAGTATGCAATTCAGTTGTTGTCCTGAACAACCATGCCTGGCCACAGTACCTCAAGGAGTGGTGTTGATGCATGTGGATGATTTGTTGTTTTGCAGGGATTATGAGTATTTCCATGATACTTTTCTGAAGTAGTGCCAGGAGAAGTTTCAGGTCAGTTTTGCAGAGCTTGGAGACACAGGTTCCAGCATCAGCTTCCTCAAGAAAAGAATGACTCAGCTCGAGGTTGGAATCCTAGTCACTCCAGGATCCCTACCGTCTTAAAAATGAAATTTGAAGGGGGGAGTCGTACTGAAATTTCATTTTGAAATTCCATTTTTGCATTTATTTTTCTCAATGATCAACATTCCACGTCATTCCATATCATTTGGCAAGCAGGTGACGCAACTTTCAAGCCTCATGACAAACCTGCGGAGGCTGATCAATGAAGCCTTAGCTGCAGAACGTTTCGAAGACGCGTCAGAGTTGCAATGCAAACGGCCGCATTGGCCACACTTACAGCAGCCAGCCAAAACTCCGGGCTGAACATGGAGCTGGTGACGACAGTCAGAAATCGTTTCCAGCGATTGTACCGGAAAGCCAGGAACAGAGGCGAGGAAGGACTAGCAACAACCTTCCGAGTCTATGCAGATGACTTTCAAAGGCTGCTGGTTTGAAAGAATTCAACTTTTGATGGATGATTAGGCAGAAAGCAATGCTGCCTAATGGTTCGTTGTTGGAAAAGTGGGACGCCGGGCAATCCCGAAACCCGACGATTTCTCTGGGATTCCCAGACGGGAACACTTGCAAGAGAGACAACCTGTTGAGCTCAAGCTGCAAAAGGTTGAGGAGGAGTGCAAAGGATTTGAAACAGTGCTCACGTTGGATGACACGCACAAATCAGTGAAGTGTAACACGCACAAATCGAGAAGTGCTTGCATCAGGGACATGTGAACATTGGTGAAATCACCATTGCATTCAGGCCCAAATAGTTCAGACAAAAAGGCAGACGCGTCCGTGCTGTGATTTTCTTTGCAGATCTCAACATCAACGGATAGTGGATATTAATGGATATTAGTGGATAACGTATGAGAGGGCATAGGCAGCATAGTGATTGTGAAATATAGTGAACACATGAGAACTTAAATGTGAAACAAATGTGAAACATATGTGAAGACATGGTCGAAAGACATGGTCGGATGTCGGACCTCACAAAGAGCTGAGGCATCCGAGGCCATGACGGACCAGGGTTTGGCAGATATTTGCAAAAGCCACTCGGCATCGGCGTGTAGCTCGGTTCCGTGTCCCGCATGTTTCACCAGATTTCACCAGATTTCACCAGATTTCACCAGATTTCACCAGTGACATGTCTTGACATGTCTTGACATGTCTTGACATGTCTTGACCTCTTGCCGGACTCTTGCCTCCTCTTGCATCTTCTTGGAGTTTTTGAACACTTTCTGCGCATTTTTCATAGTTTTTCTTTGCACATGTTCTGTTTCGGTAGAATCAGGGAATAGAGTATGCACAGATATTCACAGTTCAATGCTGCGCAAGGGGCTTGATGAGATCATTTGCATTCACTGCTGACTAGATTCGGTCCTCAACAACAGCCACAGTGCTCCCTTCTCGTTTGGCTCCTAGGTTTTTGTGGCGATGATGCAGTTCCCTTGACCATTGGGGCGATAAACTTTGGATTCAACCAAACAACAATGGACACTTGCTGCAGAGAGCAATACTCAAGTACATTTATTTTTTACCAGGGACCAGAACCAAACGTTTGAATTCCTAGTTTCACAAGTTTCCTAATGTTTCCTAATGTTTCATAGTATTTTGATGCATCTTGGCAGTTTAGGATGGACTGCATCCCGACCAGGACGACATTTGCTTGGCTGGCGATATTCTCGAGGCGAACTCGAGCTTTGTAGAAATGTGCCACGGGTCTGGAAGCCCGGCCCTGCACGCCAAACAATACGATGCACTCATCAGGAACTGTCAGACTGTGTGTGACAATATGTGACAAATTGTGACCATCATTTCGGTGTTTCATCCTATTTCTGAGCTGCACAACAGGTGTCCATGTGTTGTGTCAAAATTGAGTGAGGCACGCGACCGCGATGCAAAATGTTCAAAGCAAGTTGGCCGCCTTTGTGGCTTCTTTGAAGTGGGCCCAGCAAATTTGAGATGCCAGACAAGTGCTTGCAGTGCTTGCAGTGCTTGCAGTTTCTCTCCGTGCGATTCTCCCTCCATCGATCCGTTGCCAGTGTCCTCGAAGCGGAGAAAACTCTCTATGAAGCCAACGCCAAGAAAGCGGCAGCATCTTAGATGCAGCGAGTACCAGGAAGCAATAGGAAACATCAGGAAATTGTTGTTTTCAACTGTTGTTCCCGCTTTTTTTTTGCGCGGAAGCAATACACATTTCGGATCATTTCGGATCATTTCGGATCATTTCGCATTGTGAGGCCGACTTGAAAGCTGCGATTGAAGCCCGTGCCACCGATGTCACGTACCCATTTGTTGCCTTCAGCATGTCAATCCAAACTTGACACGCAAGATAGAGAGGAAAGGATCATGACATGTTCCCATGTTTCCTTTTCTTTTTCTTTCCTTTTTCCTTTTCATTTCCTATTCCTGTCCTTTTCCTTTTCTTGTCCTTTCGTTTTCCTTTCCTTTTCCTGTCTCTTTCCTTTCCCTTTCCTTTTCCTCTCCCTTTCCTATTCTTTCCCTTCCCTTCCTTTACTCTTACTTTTCCTTTTCCCTTTCCTCGCTCATGTGAATCCTTTGATCAAGGTGTGAAGCCAGCGCTTCGAAGAACGATAAGAGGAAAAAAAACGATAACGTGTGAAAAACCCATTTGAAAGGGCTCCGGGGTTTTTACAAGACCCCATGTGAGCTCTCGTCTTGACAGAGACTCTTGTGATGTGTTGTTTCCTGAGTGCAAATTTCTGCTTAACTATTTTTGTGGGCTCACGTGTTTGGTGAAACATTGAAACATTGAAACATTTGCAGTGATTGCTGCTTGGAGCTCTAGGATCTCTAGGATCTCTGAGCAATTCTGAGCATGCAAGGTCTTGCAGGATGCTCTTGTCAACGAAAAGATAGTGAAGCTTAAGGACAGGGATTGACATTTGCCGCTTAATTTGGAGATAAGAAATAGGCATCAGGAGGGATGCGCACTCAGTGTGCACTGATGACCAGCATCTAATCCTGGTCAAGTGTGGAAGCAGGGTGGAAGATGAAGAATGCATAAGAAATCATAAGAATAGCATCCAATCGCTACGACATGCTACGACATGCTACGAGGGAAGACGATGCCCAAATCTGACATCACTACGTCGACCGTTGCGGACCGTTCCTGGATCTCCTCCAGGAGCTCTTGATCCAAGAAACAGCGAGTATGAAAACCAGCGGTACGGCTTACTTAGCCATCAAGCAGAGCCACTGCCACGCTTTCCATCGCTTTCCATCGCTTTCCTATCTTTTCTCACGTTCAAAGTCTGGGGCTGTGAAAGCTGAAGTGAAATCAGTGGTTTGGTTGGAAAAACCGTGGCTTGAGGTAAACCTTGGCGAAAGAGTAGAGACAGCAGATGACAGCAGAGATCAAGAAATTTGCATTGCCAGGGCCGTGCAAGATGTGGAGCTTAAAGGCGCAGACCGTTTGAACAAGGTTTGAACAAGATGTTTGAACAAAATGCGGATTTCACATGATTTCACGAGGTTCAACGATTCTCAGATGTCCATTGGGAACCGCAGGTAATGCCTTGAAGACCACCTTGTCAGAATCGCTGGGTGCTTTGGACACCTTGGTGCCCTGGCAGATCCTGGCAGCATGTTGTTGAAATTGTTGTTTCATGTCGTGTCATGTCAGATGTCATGTCTTTATGATTCTTTATGCCTCCTGTTGCGGATGACCGGATGACCATTTTTTTGGCCATCCACACGCCAAACGCTTCCAGGTCACAGATTGCAACAAGCTCTTCACTGGTCTTGGAGCAAGCGCGGGGCTTGTTTGCTTTCGCAGCGTCGTGCCAAATGTAAAGGTGATGTTGAGATGTTTACGTAAGGTTTATGTATTTGCAATGAAGAAATCTCCACGGATCTTCCAGCAAACCACCGGCTATTGATGAGGCAACGAATATCTCTTGGATATTTGCACGCAGACGTCGAATGCCTGCGTCGATGTGGACATGGGGCGTCACGTAGGTCTGTGACTGTGCGTGAAACTGTCCACTGCACCGCAAGTATCTTGAATCTGATGTGAGGCTGTTGCTGTGGCTACAGTCCATTGATCGCGTTGGGTAGTGCCACTGTCAGAGCCCAAAGATCCGAAGACCAAAACGCTTCACCATGCTTCACCTCACTGAGTCACCGAGTGCGTTGGTCCAATTGGATCCAATTGGTGCGTTGTGCATTGTGCAGCTACCGCATTGCGTCCAGGTTCCCACTGCCACCATCGATGGCATCAGCGCCACCAGGCCAAGAACATTTCAGACGTTTTCAGGTTTCATACGTTTCATACGTTTCATACGTTTCATGTGTTCAACTCGTTTCAACTCGTTTCAACTCGTTTCAACTCGTTTCAACTCGTTTCAACTCGTTTCAACTCGTTTCAACTTTTGCATTTGAAACACGATGGTTTAAAATGGTATAAAGAGATTGAGCACAAGCTGTAGTGTATATATATATACATATTATATATATATACATATTATATATATAATATATATATATATATATTATATATATAAATAGGTAATTTAGGTTTCAGTGTCAAGCTAAGCTGTGACATGCTGTGACCGTTTGCCGAGAGGTTCTCCAGCGATGCGACTGGGGCCACTCGAACAGCAGCACGTCGCCTGGCGACGGCTCCGTACAGCGTTTGTGGCGAAGCCTACAAAAGCTCCAAGCCCAAAGTGGAAGAAGCACATGCAAAGGCGACGTCACGGTTACGGTTGGCACAATCGACTGTACTATGACTGTTCTGTGCTGTGCTCCGTGCTGGACACTGGGTAGGGTAGCCGCACCTTTTTGAACGCGGCTTTTGCCAGGTGCGGTTGCTGGGACAGGAAGAGCTCATCAATCAGCACCTGATCATCATGGCCAGGCAGAGCGCCGGATCAAACCGGATCAAATCCATGTTGCGAATGTCGAAAATGTCAAAATGATTCGAAATTTACATTCGCTCCTTTCAAACTCCTTTCTTATCCTTTCTGCTTCCCTGTGTTGTACACTAACCTCTGGATTTGTTGCAGTTATAGAAGTACATCGAATCTTGAGACATCCTTCGACACGAGAATCGGACAGTTCGGCAAGACTCTGCTGCATCTAGGAGATATCCGGACCAATTCGGTTGCCACTTCCCTGGCTGCATGGCAGATACAGGCCGCCCATGAAGCTGTGGGCTTGGGGGTGGCTCTCACAGGATGCGGTACAACATGCGCGATGAAACACTACATAGAGAGTCCGTTCTGACAGGATGTTGGATCTACTGGTCGACATGTGATTGAACAACTGATACGATTAGGGTCGACCTTTTGTCATGCCTATCCAAACGACTGAAGAGAGAAGGTTGATGGGGTAAAAACAACCACCCAATACGTTTCCAACATAATTTGTTATATGTTGTCCTTACTTAAGCTTGATACACAGCAAATCCATGTATATCCTTTACTGTAGTAAGCAGCATGTGCAACTGGACAGCCGAGCATACCAGCTTGAGTGCAGGCGGAACGTGCTCACTCTTTGAGTGTGATTCAACCAGAGGGCCTGTCGACTGTGTAAATGGCAAATGTATATGTCACCCGGCGGGATTTCAGAGCGACGGATTTGCCATGAGAGCCTTTGAGAGTCTTGAGTTGTTGAACTGACGCCATGGCTGCAGTTAAGATATGTTAGTGTCCAGCGACCCTCTCCACTCTAAGACTCTAAGGCAAACAGGGATACTGTGCGAATCCCAACGGCGTGTGCGTTTCGGTCAGCGATGCTCGGCATATCTAAGTGAAGCATTGTGAACCTCAGAGACGAACTGTCTTGAAAAGGATATTATGGAGCGATCAGATGCCGTGTTTTGGAGCACACACTCTGGAAACCTCTGGAATATACGTATTTTTTCTTAGATCAAGCAACAAACTGTTAAAGAAAATCTCGTGTGGTCCGTAGTAGTTGCAATGGCGAATGTTTTCGCGGCACATTCTCCAGTTCCCCTGTTCCTTATAGCCTGCCACGCTGAGGAGTTTATCCAAAACGATGGCCACTAAGCTACATTGTGAACTTGAGAGAATCTGTGAGCCCAAAAGATGTTTGCAGATGTTTGCAGTGTCTCAGATTGTCTCAGATTGTCTCAGGTTTTGTTGGTGTATCATTCTCCCAGCCGCTGGCTCCAAGCTTCCAACTGTACTTCGTGTACTCGCTGCTGATGCTGCTGGTTGCGCCGATGTGGAGAAGGTAGGCGTTCTCAGTCAGTGATTGTCCCATGATTCTCCAACCGAGAAGACCACTGTCTCACAAGATCCTTGAAAAGCAGAGTCTGAAAAGATATTTGGCGCAATAGAAGACGCAGCATTATAGATGATTAATTATAGTATTTTATCGTCTTAGCATGTCTTAGTTATTTCACAATGATGGGACAATCCACGCCTGCAGAGTGTCCTCGTTGTATCTTGGCAACTTGGACCATTTTCTTGCAGATTTCAGACCCAGTTTATGCATTGACATGATTCGATCCCATTTTGATCCCAGTTTGTCATTTGGCGGAAAATACGCAACAAAAACTTCAAGATGACGTGAGTCATATGAGTTTGGCACACTGAATGGCGGCGGTCAACGGTGGCATTGGTCTGAAGTTGGCTCAATTATTGTCCCGGAACAGTCCATCTCCGGCAAAGCCGGGCGATGGTTTTTGGCATCTAGATGCCTACATGATTTCGCAATTTCAGCATTCATCACATTTATCGGTATAAAGATGTATAAAGTGTATATATACAACTGCCATCCAGCTTTGGGGTGCCAAAGGCGACCGGGTCGAGTTGGTTGGACACACGGCAATTTGCCAAAACAAGAACTGATCGAACTGGCCTTGTCCTTGGCCCTTCCACTGGATTCTCTACAGTGTTCGACTCTCGACTCTTGACATGTTTGTGTTGGCTACAGATTCTAGACCGTTGGCGAGACGTTGTTAGAAAACTCATAGCTGGCATGAAAGATAAGGAAGTGAGAGTCTCATGTGAGCGTCTGTGAAGTGTGAAGTGTGAAGTGTAGGCCGCAGATTTGGTCACTTGAATCCTGCGGCATGTTTCAGCTCCCTCGCCGCTTGCACTTTTGTGGCGTCGCATGGTGTCGCATAACCACATGTGATTATTTTCAGCGCCCAACAAACTGCCTTTGATTACTTTGGACATCTTTGGACACTGGTTCGGGCACACTGACAGGTGCAACATGGTGGAACACAGCTGAATTCTGTTCTCACTAAGCACCGCCTTCTCACCCAAGAATAGAGGAATAGAGGTTGAGTCAGCAATACTCACGTAGCCGCAACCAATGATCAGTAGACTCAGTAGACTCAGTAGACGGTTGAAGGCGGACAAATACATACAAATACCAGAAAACTGCAAAAGACATGGCAAAAGACATGGCAAAAGACGTGGCAAAAGACGTGGCATGTTAGGCACAGAGCCAGATTGCTATGGCCACTCAGCTCCATGGCATTGGGGACCTCATCAAGCACCTTGGCGTGGGGCGTGGGGCGTGTGCCCAGGTGTCGTGAAATCATGTGAAATCATGTGAAATCATGTGAAATCTTGAGGTTCCACATTTTTTGGCTTCGAATTCAAGATCAGAGCCTCAAGAGCTCAAGGCGCTTGGAGGCCATCGCCGATGCCTGCGGTGAAAAGAAGAAGGAGGACGCTGCAACTCCGTCTCCGTGTTACCAGAAGTTGCCTTGCACAACCGCAAATCTATTGCAAGTATCCACAAATCATCGCAAATCTATAGATCACACAGCACATACGAAATATTACGAAATGGCAGGTAGATCAAAGTGGCATTTGACGTGCTCTTTGGCACACATATTCTTTGCATGCACCTACTCATCATTTTGTTGGATTGTTTCCTCTTCCTGACTCTTCCTGCCTTTCTGGTGCGAGAATGCAACTTGCTTCAGACTCTGTGACTTCATGAGGATCAGCCAAAGGATGAATTTCTGCGCTTGAAGCAGAGAGTCTGGTCCTTAGATGTCCTTAGGATTTTTTGGGGATGTGGCGACTTGGAAGATTTGGAAGACCAGACCACCCAGGGTGCCCCAATCCTCGGGTGTCAAGCGGTTCAAGCTTGGCACCCAAACTCCCAGGACCGCGAAAAGAATCTCACTAAAACTGCTGGATGATAAATGTATATAAATGTAAACCCCCCTCACACAGAGGGACCCCAAAATACCCTGATGATCCCTGATGTTTATGCATGAAAAACTGGAGTGTATAAGGACTAAACACGGACATTCGTCCGTAACTCGACATTTTCGATTAAAGTATTCCTGTGTTTCATTAGTAGGCCATCAATAGGCCGGTTCCTCGGAATCATTGAGACAAAATGAGCGAGTCGTCGCTGTCCGTGACGGCATGCTGCATCTTAGGTCTATGTGCTGCTGGAAGAAGCGCGGAAAGACATTCACGAGCGGCAGAAGCTCTTGAACAAACGTGGCAATTGCAAGGCTACAACGAGTTCCACCAAGTGAATGAAATATTCCCATAGGCATGCAGCATATAGGCATCATGATGGAAGCAACGCAAACTGTATCAAACTTTCAAATGCCAAATTCCGTGCAGGAAACCATCGAGAAGGGCCACTCTGTGAGACAAGCTTTGGAAGAGCTGAGGCAGAATCACCCCTGTGCCATCACACGCATACTATGCATTGCTGTCATTACTACGCATCATCCTCGATGAATCAAGGCATTCCGCAGGTTCAAACAACATCATATTTGACAGGCATCGACCATCATCAAACATCATGAAAATGCTGCGCATTGCTGCGCCTCTTGTGGCTGCCGCTCTACAAGGCGTGCCCTGCCAAAGCTACAAGCTCTTCACAAGAAGGTGGGGGCCTGGGTCCAACCTGTGGGGCAATAAACATTAAACAACCCCATTATTTCTGAAGTCCTTGATTTGGAGGAATAAACATGAATAATTAAATATGATGCAAAGCGACCAAAATCACATGTTCTTCCCTTCGCATTTCAAGCTGAAGTGCATAAGCAGCTCCTGATGTGTTCAATGCTTTGAGGCCCAAAACCAGCGTGGTGCCAAGGGTCGGAAAGAGGAACTCCAAGCACGCTATCAGGACATGTGAAGAAACATGTGTATGGACGAAGAAGAACGACATGAATAGTGAGATTAATCAACTTATTAATCAGATAATTCCATGATAATTCCATGATCAACTTCCTTTCAAAATCTGAAAACGGGACACATATGGCGTATGGAAACGTTGATTTACAGCAGACTGCAGAGGACATCCGGATCTTAAAGAGACATGTGGATGAGCTCAACGAGTTGTTCGTCAGCGGTCAGGCTGCCGAGGACGCAGAAAGGATGGAGCAGAAAGGATGGACGCAGAAAGCCAAAAGAAACAACATGAAACAACTTCATTTGGGAGGAACAAAAAAAAAAGGAAAAAGAAGGAACATGGGAAACCCCGAGAAATTCACAGAAAATCTGAATTAATATCAGAATTCTGTGGGTCCAAAGGTTTGAAATGTTGCAGGTGAGCAACTGGCTACGCCCGCCACATTCACAATGCAATATAACATTGCAATACATTACATAATTTCCCTGTAACTCATGTAACAGCAACACGTTGCAAGTCAAGGGCAGTTCTCACCACTCTCGGTTTGCGACCTGTTCATTCTACTAAGAATAGAATTGAGAATTCTTGGATGAACTTCCATGAAAGACATGAGAAGAATAGACGAGAATGAATGTGCAAAACAAAAGATTGTTTGGCAAAGTCAAAACGATCCATTCAAAGTGTGTCCTGTGCGTATATTAAACATTATTAAACTATATTAATATATGATAATAATTATAATTATAATATACGTATTATATAAAATTACACTTTCTATATATCCTGTTCTTGTGGATCCTTTGGCAGTCACAGGAGACGCCATCTGCTAACCTCTTTGGACGACCGAGCGGCGTCGGTGGACTTCGTGAACTTGGCCGTGCCAGTCCTGAGGCGCGAGTGACAGCCATCAGCTGCCCCAGACTTGGACGACTTGGACGACTTGGCTCAGGATACCCGGCGGGACCTCACATCTCAGGACATTGAAAATGGATGAAAATGGTGGACGGGGGATGGGTGCAGTGAGCCGTGAGCTTCGGAAAGCTATCGAACATGATGCCAAAAAATATATAAAAATACATTCGACTATCATTCGACTGTTAAACGATGTTAGACTGGGACCTCTGAAAACAGTCTTCACAGCTTCCCAGGATTTCCCAGGATTTTTTCATTTGCAGGAGGAAGATGCCTTAGCTGCCATGAAGCGGCGAGATGAAGACATCGAGAAACAACTCAGTGAGGCCATTATTAGAAACAAACGACTGATGCTTTAAACTTGTTCTCATATCGATTTTAATACATTGAATATCATTGAATATCATTGAATCACATTGAATCATTGTTTCCTACCGTTTCACAGACCGTTTAACATGTTCGCACACATTTTACAATGTGATGCGTCCTGGCTGGTGCAGAGCTTGATCACATGCTTAGAGTGCTACTGTTTGCCACTAGAGGAAAGACTGTAGAAAGACTTAGAGGATCTTCGAGGATCGAGGATCGAGGATCCAAGTTTTGCAGATCGGGCACCTGTCGTCAGCGTCGCACCAGGTGGGACAGGCCTTGGGTCGCTTGGACCCGTTGGCACGGCAGATTGGACAAACAGCAGAGCGACATCGACTTCGAGCCGAGGTCCAGTGGAACATGGTACAGCCTGGTACAGAAATATCAGTAATGTACAGTTGCTGACAGTAATGTACAGTACAGAAAAACATGAAACATGGTGAGACATGGTGAGACATGGTGTGACAGGATGTTAAACATGGTGAAACCCCAGAGGCACTAGAGAAGGGTAACAAAGCGGCGCAAAGAAAGACGTGAACGACGCTTACTATCTTTGGGCACTTTTTGGACAAGACCTGGTTATAAACATTAACGGAGATGTGTAAGAGCGTGGAATCGTTTCTTTGATGCACTGGCGGAGGCATTGACTGCAGAGGTTGACAAGACCGAAGGGGATATGCAGATGCTCAACAAGCTCCTTGGTCATTGAATGTCCTTGACACAAATGTTTCAATGTGACCAGAGGTGAGCATTTTGCTAGCAGCATGTGCATGTTTTGGGCCAACATACCCAGTAACTCAGATCACCAGGGCTGAGCCAAGACCCTCTGACTCCTGCTGTGGCAGCTGTGAGGCGAGTGACTGAAGTGATGCGCTACGAGCGAAACACCTCGTGCTGTTGCCAAATTGTCGCAGACTCAGCGCAGCGCACAACGTGTCGCAACCTGTCGCATCGCCACTTCACCGCCTGGGGCGCCATGCAGCGCCATGCAGCGCCCAGGTCCTAATGGTGGTCCTTCTCTGCTGCGTCGGCTTTATCTTTCAGCAGCTGACGTAGCTTCGCGCCCGCAGCCTGTCGCACAGCCTGTCGCACAGCCTGTCGCACAGCCTGGCACGCCCGGAAGTGGATTTGCCAGGGCACCTCAGGGCGTCGCGCATCAAGGTGCTGCAGGTGCCACATGCATCACTGCATCACCACATCACACTGCTCGCTTTTTCGCCGTTGTACAGCACTTGGCATAGAAAGCCACCAGTGCCTTTGCCATAGCTCCTGCTGTGGAAAACAACCTCATGCGTCCTATTGGAGACTGGCAAGAAGTCTTCAACAGTTTGCGCCATGTTTAACAAGAGTTTGGGAACATGTTGTCGGCTTCACAAACAGGCGCGTGTTCGCGCGCGCAAAACACGTAGCCCATTCCAATGGAGAATAGATGATATAGATGCTGCATTACAATTATAATATTATTATAATATGATACAATAATAATTCAATAATATACAATATGCATACAATATGCATACAATATGCATTGATATGTACCTAACGCATGTAAGAGGATTAAGAGGTATTAAGAGGTAAGTTCCAGGGATCTCACCAACTATGATCATTTCTTGCATGTGGGGTGAAGGCCCAGAGCTTTTGAAGGACACGAGCCAATGCGAGCCAATGTGTCCTGGAAGATACTGGAAGGGAGAGAGTTAGACACTCGATATCAAAATGTGTCGCAAACTAAGGGTTCTAACAGCTAGAGGAGCCAGAGATAGCCACACAAGAAAATGATAGAGTCAGCCTGAGTCAGCATTACATTATGATTCATTATGATGAGCATGAAACGAACCAAACATGATAAAGTTGGTCAGCCAGTTGCAAGATCCCTTGTACTCAAGGGTTGTTGACTTCACATTGACATTGAAGATTTTCAACTAGAGCGTCTCCACTCCACTGCATGGGTCAATGCCGAACCAATTAGATGGATCACATTCACGTTGGGCCAAAGCTGCCCGTGGTGCTCTCAGTTTTGATTCCGGCGAAGTTCAGAGTCCAGGTGATGTGCAGATTGAACTATATTGAACTCCAACGAGTTTGAGATCACACTTCTGAACTTCTCTGAAGCCCTGGCAAGATTGATTTCATTCCAAAATTCATCAAAATTCAATAAAATTCACACCATTTGCGATGATATACATGCATGCATGAACCCAGTATACAGTAATATACACATGGGAGCCGTCCGTAAAAGCAGGTCACAAATTTATGAATTGATGCGTTTACTTTGCTTTGCGCGATTGCTAAAACCTGCATCGCGATAGGCTGAGCGATTGGTTGGCGATTGGTTATACGGCTACCACCCTATTACTACTACTACTACTAGTACTACTACTACTACTACTACTACTAGTAGTAGTACTACTACTACTACTACTACTTTCGAGACCAGAACCATGCCAATAATTGACATGGCCGCGCGGATTCCGCGCGCGCGGAATCCGCGCAGATGTTTTCAGGTCAGAAGGACATTCAAACTAGCTCCAATTGAAAACAAGTCAGAAACAGGTCAGAAACAGGTCAGAAACACCAAAAAGGCAGCACTTGCCTGGCATCCCATCCATCCATCCATCCATCCATCCACCTCAGCTCTTATCATTGCTACTTCTACTATTACTATTACTGTACTACTATTACTACTATTACTACTATTACTACTATTACTACTATTACTACTATTACTACTATTACTACTATTACTACTATTACTACTATTACTACTATTACTACTATTACTACTTCTACTCCTCCTCCTCCTACTACTACTATTACTACTACTACTACTACTACTACTACTAGTAGCACTAGTACTAGTATTTGGGGCACTAGTAATGATATTACTTGCCAAGCCCCTGGCTGGCTTAAAACGTTTGGCCAGTTTTGGTGCTTGGGGGGGGGGGTGGTGCACGACTGGTGCAAACCTGGTGTCTGGCCATTTTTTGTGCATCGACTAGCTGGTGTTGGAAAACCCCTTTTTTGGTGTCAAATTTCAATTTTTTGGTGAAAAGTTGGTGCTGAAAATCCATTTTTTGGGGTTCAGAATGCATTTTTTGGGGTTCGGAAACTTTGATGAAACTTCTTGAGGGTTTCCATGAAGTTGCCAGGGAAGCATGGAGGTGGTGAAGTCAACGATGTGTGTGTTTTTATTTCCCCCCCTTGCACCAAAACTGGCCAAACTTTTAAAGCCAATCAGGGGGTATCTAAACAGATTATTGTTTTTCAGACCGTCTTAGGCTTCGTGTTATCATCAATATTCACATGACAACTTTACACACAGGCTCAAGGACGAAAAAATGATAGGCACCGTGTAAGTGCCCTCTGCCATGTTTGACATGGCTTTGAGTGGGCTTTACCAACATGGCAATGCATTTCCGCTTTTCGAAAAATAAAAAACCATCCCAATGCTCACCAAAGGCGTCACATAGCGGTAAAAATCACCAGAAATCATTCCACCCTTCAAAATCCCTCCAAACCCCTCCAAATCTTTCCAAACCCTCCAAATCCCCAAAAATCTTCCCCCATCTTTCCAAATCACCAAAAATCACCAGAAACTTTCCCAAAACCCAAACCCCCGCCCCAGCCACCCCAAAACCACCCCCCGAACCCACCCGAACACCCCCAAACTGGCCCCCACCCGCCCCAAACCCACCAAAACACTTCCCAAATCCTAAGAAATAATCCAATTCGGCAAATTTCGGGCCAAAATCTGACACCGCTTTCGGCAAATTTCAGCACCGCTTTCGGCAAATTCGGAACCAGTCGGGAACCAGTCGGGAACCAGTCGGGAACCAGTCGGGAAAATCCGTGCACCGCCCCAAAAGGCACAAAAATGCTGGTTTTTGCAGGGATTTGGCACTTTTTTGGTCGATTTTTGGCAAAAACCCTGCAAAAAGTGCCAAATTCGACCAAAAAAGTGCCAAATCCCTCCAAAAACAAGCATTTTTGTGCCTTTTGGGGCGGTGCACGGATTTTCCCGACTGGTTCCCGACTGGTTCCCGACTGGTTCCCGACTGGTTCCCGACTGGTTCCGAATTTGCCGAAAGCGGTGTCAGATTTCAATTTTTTGGGTGTCAAAAAAACGCGCTGTTTCGGGCTGAAACCGGCTGAAACCAGACCAAACCCTTCCCAATCTCTAGGCTTTTTGGTAATTTTCCCGTTGGATTGACACTTCGAAAGGGGTTAAAAAGCGCGCCCTTTTTGCGCCCAAAAAGGATCCCAAAAACAGAGAAAAAGGGCGCGACCTAAAATCCCAAACCAAACAGAAAATTACCTGCGCTCTCATCTGTTGAAGATTCCGCTTCCGAGAGCGCGGATTCTGATGATAGTTCTGTGCCATTGAGTCAACAGATTTTGTTGGGCCAGTTGGGCCACAGGTTTTGTTTCCAATTTCAAGCTTCCGAAAGCCCGGCAGTTTCACTTGACAGTTTCACGGTTTCACAGCATCTTCTGGATCCGGGTAGAATGTGGTCATGTTGGGCCAGAGCGAAAGGGTTGCGGCTGTGTTCCCACAAGGGGGTGTTCCTTGTTGTAAACTGTTAAAATATTGTAGTTCAAGTTGTAGCAATAGAACATTGCAGTAGATAATGGTGGCTGCAATTTGGTTCCTCCTGAGCATTGACTTCCCATATGTTGGGACTGGTTGGTTGGTTTTTGACATCCTCCACCCCCCCAGAATTTTGACACCGTTTTTAACACCACAAAAAGGCGTTTTTAACACCACAAAAGGGATTATCAAACACCAGGCCCAAACACCAATTTTTTGATTTTGAACACCACATTTTTCCCACATTTTTTTTTTCCAGCACCACTTTTTCATTTTCCAGCACCTTCCGTGCACCGCCCCCCCCCCAGAGCCCACGTTTTAAGCCAGCTACGGGCTGGCCAAGATATTACTTTGACGATCACTAAAATTGTTCCTAGTTTGACTGCCCGTGCTGATTTTTTTGAAGTTGAAGAAGACTCCGGGAAAGGTCAGAAACAGGTCAGAAACAGGTCAGAAACAGGTCAGAAACACCAAAAAGGCAGCACTTGCCTAGCATCCATCCATCCATCCATCCATCCATCCACCTCAGCTCTTATCATTGCTACTTCTACTATTACTATTACTACTATTACTACTATTACTATTACTACTATTACTACTATTACTACTATTACTACTATTATTACTTCTACTACTACTACTACCACTACTACTACTACTACCAATACTACTACTACTACTACTACTACTCGTACTGCTAGTACTACTACTACTACTACTACGACTACTACGACTACTACGACTACTACGACTACTACGACTACTACGGCTACTACGACTACTACGACTACTACGACTACTACTACTACTACTACTACTACTACTACTACTACTAGTACGAGTACGACTACTACTACTACTACTGCTACTACTACTACTACTACTTTCGAGACCAGAACCATACCAATAATTGACATGGCCGCGCGGATTCCGCGCGCGCGCGGAATCCGCGCGGAATCCGCGCGCAGATGTTTTCAGGTCAGAAGGACATTCAAGCTAGCTCCAATTGAAAACAGGTCAGAAACAGGTCAGAAACAGGTCAGAAACACCAAAAAGGCAGCACTTGCCTAGCATCCCATCCATCCATCCATCCATCCATCCATCCATCCATCCATCCATCCATCCACCTCAGCTCTTATCATTGCTACTACTATTACTATTACTATTACTACTTCTACTACTCCTCCTCCTCCTACTACTACTACTACTAGTAGTAGCACTAGTACTAGTATTTGGGGCACTAGTAATGATATTACTTTGACGATCACTAAAATTGTTCCTAGTTTGACTGCCCGTGCTGATTTTTTTGAAGTTGAAGAAGACTCCGGGAAAGGTCAGAAACAGGTCAGAAACAGGTCAGAAACAGGTCAGAAACACCAAAAAGGCAGCACTTGCCTAGCATCCATCCATCCATCCATCCATCCATCCACCTCAGCTCTTATCGTTGCTACTTCTACTATTACTATTACTACTATTACTACTATTACTACTATTACTACTATTACTACTATTACTACTATTATTACTTCTACTACTACTACTACTACTACTACCAATACTACTACTACTACTACTACTCCTCGTACTACTTTTACTACTAGTACTGCTAGTACTAGTACTAGTACTAGTACTAGTACTAGTACTACTACTACTACTACGACTACTACGACTACTACGACTACTACGACTACTACTACTACTACTACTACGACTACTACTACTACTACTACTACTACTACTACGACTACGACTACTACTACTACTACTACTACTACTACTACTACTACTACTACTACTACTACTTTCGAGACCAGAACCATGCCAATCATTGACATGGCCGCGCAGATGTTTTCAGGTCAGAAGGACATTCAAGCTAGCTCCAATTGAAAACAGGTCAGAAACAGGTCAGAAACAGGTCAGAAACAGGTCAGAAACAGGTCAGAAACACCAAAAAGGCAGCACTTGCCTAGCATCCCATCCATCCATCCATCCATCCATCCACCTCAGCTCTTATCATTGCTACTAATACTACTACTACTACTACTACTACTACTACTACTCCTGCTACTTCTACTACTGCTACTGCTACTACTACTACTCCTACTACTACTCCTACTCCTACTCCTACTTCTACTCCTACTCCTACTCCTACTCCAAACGCAACCTCTCTCTCTCTCTCTCCCTTGCCTATTCCCTCACCCTCCTACCAGAACTCCTACGCCTACTCCTATTCCAATTTCCACTACCACTACTGCTAGTGCTACTGCTAGTGCACTGTGAGTTTTCCGGACCGTTTCCGGACCGCACAAGCTTATTTTGCTCCCAATTTTGAAATCGAATGCGTTCACGCATGGATCCTTACTCTCATTACTAGATTTGCTACTACCCCCAGCACTACCACCACACCCGCTGCTACTGCACCACCCTGCACCACCACTACCACTAGTACACCTAGGAATTTCTGCTCTTGCTTTTAAATCCAATTGCACTCGTGTGAAGGGTCAGAAACGAGTCAGAAACCAGTCAGAAACCCGTCAGAAACCGGCCAAACGCAATCTCTCTCTCTCTCTCCCTTGCCTATTCCTTCACCCTCCCATCAGAACTCCTACGCCTACTCCTATTGCAATTTCCACTACCACTACTGCTAGTGCTACTGCTACTGCTAGTCCTGCTGGTACTACTGTGAGTTTTCCGGACCGTTTCCGGACCGCGCAAGCTTATTTTGCTTCCAAATTTGAAATCGAATGCGTTCACGCATGGGTCCTTACTCCCACTACTAGATTTGCTACTACTCTTAGTACTACCACCACACCCGCTGCTACTGCACCACCACTACCACTAGTACACCTAGGAATTTCTGCTCTTGCTTTTGGATCCAATTGACACGAGTTCCGCTGAAGGGTCAGAAACGAGTTGGAAACCAGTCAGAAACCCGTCAGAAACCGGTCAAACGCAACCATCTGTTTCCCCCTCCCTCCCTCTCTCTCTCTCTTTCTCTCTTTCCCTCCCTCTCCCTTTCTTCCCTTGCCCTGCTACTAGAACTCCTTCTCCTATTCCTACTCCTACTCTTACCCCTCCTACTACTACTACTACTTCTACTACTACTACTACTACGACTAGTACTACTAGTACTACTAGTACTACTAGTACTACTAGTACTACTAGTACTACTAGTACTACTAGTACTACTAGTACTACTAGTACTACTAGTACTACTAGAACTACTAGTACTACTAGTACTACTAGTACTACTAGTACTACTAGTACTACTAGTACTACTAGTACTACTGCTGCTGGTACTACTGTGAGTTTTCCGGACCGTTTCCGGACCGCGCGAGCTTATTTTGTTCCCAAATTTGAAATCGAATGCGTTCACGCATGGATCCTCATTATATAATACATAACTTATATTTTATGTATATGACCTGATCAACGAAGAACAAACCCTTCCGCGATTGCTCACTGTGGTACCGCGGTTGCTACGCGATTGGCTGAGCGATTGAGGGCTGTCCGGGAAAAGGTATTTTGGACAACCCCCACATATACACACACTATATAGAATTCAAGGATGAGTGCTGGATAGCGTTGGCACTGCGGCACCCATGAAGTTGAGATGAAATCGAAATCTCTGACTCTGATGGTTTGTGGACGCCCTGAGGGATCAAATTCTGATGAGAGCCACCTTGCACCACCTTAACAAGTTGGCGAATCGTTCGCACCATGCTGAAGGTTCCGGGGTGTCGACGGGGTGTGTTAGGACCGTTAGGATATGTTAGGATCTAGGTGGGATCTTTCCAGTTGACGTGATCGCAACATATCGTAACTACACAGCAAGTTGTGTGTGCGTTGGCCTGAGTTGTTGGTGCCAAGTTTTGTGATCTTCCAGCTCTTGGAATATTGTGAACATTTGTGAAATATTGGTTTACCATGGTTTACCAATCACTGGTTCATTCCATTTCATTCCTGCATTTGCTTTCTCCCCATACCCAGTAGGTAGGTTTATTCAAAGTTCAGTCGCAACAAACGTCAAGACTGCGCACCAGTCTGCTAAGAGCGGACTTGATTTGTTTGCCAGACCGAGAAGTCAGCTATGCGATGCGACTGCTCCAAAGGGGCAACAGCGTTGAAGCCTTGGCAACCTTCACAGCAACCTTTGAGGTTGCCATGGCATGTCCAATCTGTTCATGTTGTGATTGTAGTGCGAATCAATCGCATGGTCAAGCTGTGTATGTTTATCGTCAAACTATATATATATATAATAAATTATATAATTACAAACAATTTCAAGGTTGAGCATGCTTGAGCATGTTTGAACAACTTCATCAATTGTCCACACCTATGATTCCATCAATGGCCAGTAGGAATTCTGGGCGCCAAGGTGTCAAATGGGCTCGATGATGAGGAGCCAAGTTGCCACAGCACTGAAAACATACTATGAACCAAAATAACCAAAAAGCATCAAAAAAAAATGTTATTTTGGTTCATAGTATGTTCAAACTAGACGACGGTTGGCCCGAGAGCGAAAAAGATGTGTTTCAAGCAGCTCTGAGTATGGTAGTCGTAAAAGATAGTCGGTGAATAGTTGGTGAATTTTATTGGTGAATTTTATATGAGCTATGGAAAGACATGATGTAAAAAAGTAAGATTGATCAAGAAGAGAATATTTGGTAAAGGGCATCAGATGACATGTGTCTTGCAACCACAGAGAGAAAGAGGGGGAAGAGATAAAGAGAGAGAGAGAGAGGTCAGACGCATTTCCACACAAAGACCTTTGAGATACAAAAGAAGCTCGGCACCATGATGCCGTGGATGACCTTAGTTGCAAACAAAGGTTGGCAAACATAGTCGCAATGGAAATGCTACAAAATGCAAAAGTACACAAACAAAGGCTCCGTAAGAAACTAGAACTCCGTGCAAGAATGCTGTGAATGATAGCAAGTTCGATATCATGATGGCAAGGATAACACCTGTTTCACTGCATTTCTCCGATGTCCCTACAGGATGGAAAAAAAAACTTTACAGACAAACAACAGTTGGCTACTGGTTTTGCATGTTCGTCACGAACAGTCTCTCCAGACGAACATACTGGTTTTGCATGTTCGTCACGAACAGTCTCTCCAGACGAACAGTGCTACAGATTAATTTGCGCCAGTTGCACTCAGTGCCACTCGGTACGCAAGCCTTCCAGCTCCCACAAGTTGCGTCCAAGCAAAGGTCGGTACCATGATGCTGCAGATGTGGCATGTTTGCCGCTTTTACTACTGCAGCAATCCGGCTACTGCGGTCGATCTTTATCTGGGCACCTCCACGGACACGACCTAAGTTCCAGCATCTCTGTGAACGCAGAAAGATCTTCCAGCCAGTCAGCAGGATGCTCATACTCGAGATTCACAACGCAGTCGTTGCAGTGCCCGCAGATGTAACATCTCTCGGCTGCCATTGTCCTCCAAACATGTTCTATGCTTCTGACTGTTTTTTGATATATTTCAGATGATGATGACGAAAGTGTGGTATTGTCACGGTCATGATCTTTGCCCAGCCAGCAGAGATTTGCTGAGATGTCCAGCTATCGTCTGACTCGTTTGGATCGCCGGGTTCTTGGTTGGCACCGCAGCAAATACAGATGGTGGTGTCTGCCTCCTTCCAATGACACATTTTCTTCAAAACAACTGGCCAACCAGCTTTTACCAGATAGTGTCCGGTTTCTGGTTGCAAAGAATATTTTGGAGCCAATTCAGAGCTCCCAGGCACAAATGAAAGAACGCGTCGTAGAATTTGTTCATCAAAGACATCCGCCCTTGCACGGATTCCCTCCGCATTCGCTGCCATGGCAGACCACATTTAAATCCCCAAATACTTTATGCGACACGTTTGTGCACCAAAATTTTGTTTGTTGTTAACTGCTGTCATGTCCAACGATGTGGGCGCTGCCGCCGGGTATCCTTCAACACCAAGACCCATAATGGGTACAATCTCTTGCTTCTTCATTGAAAACAGAATGTAATACAAGTATATTGCAATCTCCCCGCAGCTGCAAAGCAATTACACACAGACGCTTTTACACACAGACGCTTTTACACACAGACGCTTTTACACACAGAAGCTTTTACACACAGGCGCTTTTACACACAGACGCTTTTACACACAAACGCTTTTGCACTTTTACACACAGACGCTTTTACACACAGACGCTTTTACACACAGAAGCTTTTACACACAGACGCTTTTACACACAGACGCTTTTACACACAGACGCTTTTACACACAGAAGCTTTTACACACAGACTCCTTTACACACAGACCCTTTTACACACAGAAGCTTTTACACACAGTAAAATTGCAATTTTTTGTCAGTTTTTGACGTCCAACGTCCATTTCGTGCGTAAGAGTTGCGCGGGACTACTCAAAGTCGCAATTTTTCCTCAGTTTTTGACGTCCATTTCGTGCGTAAGGGTTGCGCGGGACTACTCAAAGTCGCAATTTTTCCTCAGTTTTTGACGTCCAACGTCCATTTCGTGCGTAAGGGTTGCGATTGACAACTCAAAGTCGCAATTTTTCCTCAGTTTTTGACGCCCAACGTCCATTTCGTGCGTAAGGGTTGCGATTGACAACTCAAAGTCGCAATTTTTCCTCAGTTTTTGACGTCCAACGTCCATTTCGTGCGTAAGGGTTGCGCGGGACTAAGTAAACTCGCAATTTTTCCTCAGTTTTTGACGTCCAACGTCCATTTCGTGCGAAAGGGTTGCGCGCGACACCTCAAAGTTGTAATTTTTCCTCAGTTTTTGACGTCCAACGTCCATTTCGTGCGAAAGGGTTGCGCGGGACGCTTCAAAGTCGCAACTTTTCCTCAGTTTTTGGCGTCCAACGTCCAGTTCGTGCGAAAGGGTTGCAATGGACAAAGTAAAATCGCAATTTTACCTCAGTTTTTGGCGTCCAACGTCCATTTCGTGCGAAAGGGTTGCGTTTCGTGGCGCTCCGGCGGCACCGCCCCCGCCTTAAGAGAGAATAGAAAGAAGAGCGAGAGGAGATCTGCAGATGTGAGGGTGTGAAGATGGTAGATCTGCAGATGTGAAGGTGTGAAGATGTAGATCTGCAGGTGTGAGGGTGTGAAGATCTAGATCTGCAGATGTCTAGGGTGTGAAGATCTAGATCTGCAGATGTGAAGGTGTGAAGATCTAGATCTGCAGATGTGAGGGTGTGAAGATCTAGATCTGCAGGTGTGAAGGTGTGAAGATGTAGATCGCAGATGTGAGGTGTGAAGATGTAGATCGGCAGATGTGAGGTGTGAAGATCTAGATCTGCAGGTGTGATCTAGATCTGCAGATCTAGATCTGCAGGTGTGAGGGTAGATCTAGATCTGCAGATGTGAAGGTGTGAAGATCTAGATCTGCAGGTGTGAGGGTATGAAGATCTAGATCAGCAGATGTGAAGGAGTGAAGATGTGAAGGAGTGAAGATCTAGATCCGCAGATGTGAAGGAGTGAAGATCTAGATCAGCAGATGTGAAGGAGTGAAGATCCAGATCAGCAGATGTGAAGGAGTGAAGATCCAGATCAGCAGATGTGAAGGAGTGAAGATCTAGATCAGCAGATGTGAAGGAGTGAAGATCTAGTATAACGGCTGCTTTTTTACGAAGAACCCTTCGCAGGCGCTCTCGGGAAAAACATTTCCTTCAAAAAACATTTCGAGGCTAACGACGAAAGGTTAAAGGAAACTTGTCCAGGAAACTCTCCAGGAAACTGTCCAAAGACTCACAACTGACGAGGAAAGATGTCAATGGAACATGGAACCTGCAGAAAAGATCCAGTCCTACAAGCGCTGGAGTAGAGCGAGTACATGTGAGTACAGTATTTCAACATGTTCATCACCTTGCAAATTCTGTGCGAGGAGCGACCTTCCATTCCGCCAGAGGAGTTCGAGAGGCTCTCTGATGCTTCCTGGAACTCATGGTGCGAAGAAAATTATTTGAAGGAACGGCCAAAGTTCTCAGATGTCGAAATCCAGGTGTAAGAATCTGGCATGGGATCTCAATATCTCCGAGGGTGTTGGAGACCCAGATGCCGATCAATGCCAATCATGGCCAAGAACTGGAATGATCAAGATGGCAATATATGGCAATCAAATTTGACGGAGAGCACATGCTCATCACCTTCACATACCTTGACATAGATGCCAGCAGACACAGACATGAAATGACTTTAGCTTCCGGCAGAAAAATAACATCCCATTTTGATCCATTTTGCCCTCAGATTATTCAGCAGAAATGGCCAAGGCAGGAACCCTGACAACTTTGCTCCGCACTCAGTAGAAAGAGAGATTGGCGGTTGACACGTTCTAAACTCCATTGTCTAAAAACAAATCCGTCAGTGCACAGCACAAGATGAATTGACAATTCAGAACTGGCCCATACTGGCCCCGTCCAGGAATCCAAGAGTTTCAACATGTTTCAACAAATTGGCTTTATAATCAGAAGACTTCAGAAGACTTCAGAAGTGTTCTCGTATGTTCTCGTGCTGTCGTTTGTCTAAAGCGGGAGGAATTGCTGCTGGGCCTTATTGCGTCTTCTCGAGCCACAGTCTCAGCTCATTTTCAGCTTGAACAACGCGGAAACGATAGTGTGCAAGAAGCGTACACAATCATACTCGGATATAGTCGGTATGCTTGAGTCTGCTTGAGCACACAGGTTCCATAAGGTTCAAGTGTTTTAAGTCGTTCACTGTTGTTCCTGTTCAATCCTGTTGCCCTCTTCAACACCAACACGGAACGCATCGGAACGCCAAGAAATTCTCGGCCTGTTCTGATTCCGTGAGGTTCCTGCAAGATTTGATCACCCGGGAGGAGATCGATGTTCGCTTCAAATTCAGATGGCGGTTAATTGAGGCGGGCATCGTAGAACATGTAGAAAACTGTGCAGACTGCTCTATGATCTCTATGGCATTCTAGGATGTTCTACCATTGTTCTACCATTGTTCTACCATTTGCGATCTTCTACAACCATGATGTGGTGTACTTTTGTGTAGCTGATGAAGCACCAGAACCTTGGAATCCTCGGATTTGTATCAGCTGTGAAAGCCATTGAAAGCCATTGAAAGCCATTGAAAGCCTTGCAGTTTATCTTTTTGCTGGGCGTGCTGTTCCCGCTTGCCCGCGCGATAAGAGAGCCAAGGACGGCCCAGCCAGAAACAACGTAGACGTGCAAATCTGGGCTGGAGATTGCTGGAGCGTTGCCGTTTCTGCAAACAGGACGCTGATGTACTTTCCCATCTTGGCCATGTATTTTATCTATGTGGTACTGATCGGTTCGTGCCCCGGATATGACTCTGTCAACTGAGCCATGGTGGATCATGCGGCCAATGAATGATGTAACGCCAGAGGCCTCCAAAAACTATGCAAGCTCTGCAGCCGCAAAACATAGGTTTGCGCAACAATATCCCAAATTCATATTGTTCGAATTGCCCCTGAATTCGGTGGCGTCTCAAAAGACGATACATGACACTTAGGCCTGCCTCCCTTGACGTTTTCCTGTGAGGCTCGGTCCGGTTTTGAAGAAAGCTTCCAAATTCTTGAGAAGCAGAATTTGGAAGGTCCAGAATATGTCAGAAATTGTCAGAATATCAGCCAACAGTGGAGCTCTAAATAATCTAAATGTGCAATGCTGACAGAGGAACGCCAGACAGATGGAGTTTGAAGTCATTTGCACCATGTTTGGGTTGTGGCCTGGGCTTGAAGGAGTTGGCTGCAAATCTGCAAAAGTTCAATAGCACGAACCGCGAGGAGCCCCACACAGCCCCACACCCACATTGTATTGTCCCTGTGATTGTCATAGTGTCATTACATTTGACAGACCAGGACCGGTCTCCGACAGAGACTGGTTACCGAAGAATCCGAAGAATCCGAAGAATCATAATCTCGGGATTTCTCGGGACAGTTCAGAAAGCACCATGGAGACAGGACTTGAACGAACGGCTCCACCATAATGACTGCGGCTTGCAGGCGACAGAGTTGTGACAGTACTTGGGCGGATCCTTTCAGAGTCAGCTGGTTGTTGTGACTGTTTTATTTGGTCAAGGTGTGCCGTAGTATTTTGTCAGGCTTTCAAATGTCCAAGCTGCACCTGAAAGGAATGAACTGAGAATTATGATGAATTATGATGAACTACTGACTACAATGAACTATAGGAATTATGCGCTCTTCCTCTGTTACAAGAGCTTTTGGACTTTTGGGCTATCTCAAAAAGACCAGATGTGCAGAGACTGGTTCATTCATGCAGCCAGGGAGAGACTTTGGTGCAAGTAATGATGGCATGGCTCATGCTCACGTCCGAGTGCCAAGTGAATCTAAGATCCACATGGGATTGCAGTCCTGTCGACGTTCCATCGGTTCCAAGAAAATCTGAACTCAGAAAATGTGTCGAAAGTTATTCGAAGCGAAACTCAATTTGTCTTAGAAACGCTCGAACTTAAGCAAGTTCTTTGCCCTGTTTTGGTATTTCTCTCTTGGTGGGTGGCGATTGAAAGATGCTCTGGATTTGAAGGATTTTGAAGGTTCATTTGGGGCATCAAGCATGGACATAGCATGGACATAGCATGGACATAGCATGGATTCTGTGAATTTCTGTGACTTGCTTCTGTGAGTCGCTCCTAAGCTTGAAACTTGCTGAAACTTGCAGCCATCGAAGCCGTTCCGAAGGCCTCGGGTGATGCCTACCATGACGTCAAGCCGCCTGCATTGAAAACAATTATTATTGTATATATATATACTGTATATATATATAATGATTATTTTTTATGTGTCTTCAGCATTTCTTCAGCTGAGGGGTCTGAGGGGCATTTGTTTGCTCCAAGATGGGATGCAGATTGAGCAGCACGCTGCCAATTGGCTCAAAAGTCTCAAAACCAGGCCACCCCAAGGCTTACGCTTACAACGCTTTGCACAAAGATTCCTAGAAGAATCCGACAAGATCTGTCAAGTTAAAATGGACGTCCGGCTGGTGATTCCTCCTCGACTATATCTTTAAGTCTTTAAGTCATGATCTTCCTAATGGTGATCAGATAGACAAGTGGAAATTCCAAGCATTCCCAAACATGGTTTTGTTATGTTTTGTAGTATAGGTTCAGAATCTCCGTTCGACTTGCAGTTGGTCGCCCCTATGGGGCGAAGAGCGTGGACAGGGGAATGGTCGATATGTGGAGCATCTCAGCCTGATGCTACCGCTGATCCAGCTGCGACGGCTCCAACGAGAAGGCACTGAATGGAACATGAAAAAAAAAATGAATCAACGGAAAAACGGCAGATATGTATATAATTAATAATCAATAATCAATAATCAATATTTGATGATTATTTTAATTAATGATATTTGTAGATAGGAATATTTCCTGGTCTTAGGCTGAGATGTAGAAGGGAAGCGAGAGAATAAGCATAAACATATTTTTGGAAAGGGCTTCAGAAAGTGATAACATGTTCATAGCATTTGGTCACTTTGCAACGCACCGTGCCTTGAAATGGATGAATTTGGCATCACACTGAATAACATGCGGAACGGCAACAGATTGGAACAGCATGGAGCTGCTGACAGCTGACAGCTGACAGCGAAGGCCTTCGCGATGGCAAAGTCTATCGGCAGCTGCTGGAGGAGTTGCTCCAAGGACGCATCGATGGGAAGACAACGATGACACAAGTCACCCAGTCTGATCCAATCTGCACTATGGAAATATATGGAAATATATGGAACTATATGAGACATATGGAACTTGCGAAAAGGTGACGGAATTGGTAAGGATTTTTTTCCATTGCTTCTTTGGGGTGAAGATCCTCTTTCCTTGTGCAATTTGATGAAGTTTCTTCTGTGTCTATTGTGTCTCGCTCCACTCCTCTAAGTCATTTGCTGTTAGGAGATTTGGAAGAGGCTGGACGGCTGGACTATCAAAGCAGCAAGTCATTGGAGAAACAGCAAGGAGAGTGCTACATGATGCTGACAAAGTGATGTTACATAATGTTACCTGGATTGCAACAGTGGTGAAACATGGTGAAACATGGTGAACATGCCAAGTTCATCGGCCCAGAAGGTTTTGATAGATTCCTTGCCACAATTCAAAGATCATGTGAATTGCACCTGGCCAGGTGCAATCTTCCCTGCTTGAAGAGGTTTTTCACGACAAGCTGTTGAAGCAGTTTCGGCCGCTCCCAACAGCTTCCAGCTTAGTTTACGAGAAAGACAATTGATGAGAACTACGCAGTTCCGATGCCAGACCTTCAGCAGTTCAAATCATTGCAGGTCCATTTTTCAAGTGGTTGAGTAGCTTTCCATGCTCCATAGCAGATTCGATAAACCTTTAGCAGAGAAGAAGTCCTCGATTGATGGTTTGTTGTAGATTGACTGGCTATACGTTTAAAATTGTACTGAATGGCACACTGGATGAGGCTCGCAAAATCTTTGCCAAGTCTGTGCTTATGGCTCTGGAGGAATTGGAAGAGGCACTTTTATCTTTGCCTTTGGATTCACGTCGATTTGTTTCTTTCATGTAAAAAATGTCAAGATGGTGGAACACTTTAAATATCTTTAAATGTTCAATTCCCTGGCTTACAAGAAGTTCATGTTTGTTCCCCCTGGATTCTGGATGAATTCCGTCAAGACATGGAGCTTTTTCAAATGGGACGGCTGTAATCGAGAGTCATTGGGCCTGGAAGGTCAAATGTTTTATCCCATGTTTTCTATTTGTATTCTGTGATGAAAGTGTCAGGTTTCAACTCGTGAGCGGGAAAAAGCTCTAAGCACTACTAAAAGATCTATTAGGGATACGCAGTAAGACAGGTGCATCCATCCAGAGTCTTAAGAACCATAAAGAGCCCATGCCGTGCCAATCCTTTTCCGCTGTTTTCTCTTTGTGTTCGGAGGCCAACGATGAGCTGTTTGAACTTTGCACCAAGGAGGCCAGGCAGATTTCCAAGAGACAGAGATCAGACGCTTTGGAAAGCCTTGGGACAGTCTTGATCCACTCTGACCTACTTTATAATCTGTATAATTACCTACTGTATATCTAGTGTAGAAGCCTTGAGTCGCTTGGCATCGTGGGTGACCCCTGTGACGGCGAAGGTGCTGCTGCCCGTTGACGACTCGGGCTTGGTCGGGCACAAGATTTTTGAACTCCAGGAGGTGAAGCTTTGCGGTCCAGCTTCCATGTCCCAAAAGGCATGAAAAGGCAGTTTTTGTCAACAAGTCCCCAACATTCCCTAACAATATCAACAATGTCAAAATCATCAAACTGATCAAAATGATCATGTCTTGGGGACTCCAAAAACATTTTGGGAAAGGCAGGGAACGGATGAAGACTGCAAGACCTGAAGGTCATCCGAATTCGGACAGCCTAACCTTTTCGTGCTTTCAGCATCTTTAGCTTTCAGCCTTTGCCAAGAGTTGCAGGGCTATGTTGTGGTGAGAGTTGCAGACCAGATCGGTGGCGGTCTTGAGACTGGCTGCATGATTTGGACAGGCGCGAAGCATCGAGCACGATTTGTCCATTGCATGGATAGTGTGATTGCATCCTTTGAGCACGTGATGGACATCCAGAATTTCTGTAAGAACTGTTTTTTCACAATCCTTTCGCTTTTTTTTTGTACTATTGTCTTGTCATGTTTTGTCTCATTTGTATTCATTTGTCTCCTGTTGTGTTGCCTTGTCCCACGTGCCCTCTCTCTTGTTTCAATAATTTCAATATGTCTTCATTAGCTCCAGGTGGATGCATGCTGCTGGGCTTGGCATTGGCTGGAGCTTTGGATCATCTTCTCCATGGTCACATTTTGGAGCTTGGACCCTTGCCTGAGCCGAGAGGAGGAATCTCAAAGATCAGTGGAAGGGAATTCGCTTCATCTTCACTGGAATCAGTTCTTGAACTCATGGGTTGCCAATGGAGCTATTCAATTTTGCTACACTGCAAGCTGATTTGTTTCCAACTCTGATCATCCACTCAGATAGACATGATTAAAACATATTAAAACATATTAAAACATATTAAAACACATTACAGCTTTGATGTCTTGCAGCTGTCCGCTTAGGTGCAGGGACAGGATTCTTGGGCCTTGCATTGGGTTTGCAGGGTCGACCTGTGACTCTCAGCGACAACCAGCTGCAGGCATCGGTAGCTCATCGGTAAGCATGTGTAACCGGGAGCTGCGTAGCTCATTGTGCCGCAACAAACTTCCACATTTCTCCACATTTCTCCAGATTCTGTGCCTGCGCCAGCTTGCAACTGCACCAGTCTGCACCAGGTACTGGAGAATCTGCGCTACAACTTAGATGCTACCAGGCAATGCAACGATGACTCTTGGCTGAACTCCCCTGGATATCCTGGATCAAAGCACTTGCGGCACGCTGTCCACGAGTCCACAATAGATCTGCAAATCACGACAGGTAGCATTAGAATGCATTAGATAGTCACCTATTGCCACCTAAGTGTCTTGTGGATTCTTGTGCTTTAGCATTTTTCCCTTTCAGGGGCCTAAGACGGGAGTCTCACTTCTTTCAAGGGAACCATCGTCATTATACAGTACTGATCATTGCCCCTCTGTCTCGTTTGGGTGTCATACACATCAACATGCAAACATGAGCAAACATGCAATGAATGTTGAACCGTTGAACCGGCGTTCAAAGAAAGTGGGATGGGTCGATCCGGGAATCCACCAAAGAACTCTCATCGCCTTTGATAAGACTATAGACTATAGACTGATATAGACTGATATAGACTCTATATGCCCTTCGTTCTCCCTTGCTTACTCTCCAAGAGGAAGGTATGTATCATTTGTGCCCAAGAAGGCCTTGAAACACCTTCTTAGTCCAGAAACGATTCTGCTTTAAAATTTTAGAGTCTTAATATGTCTTAATGCTTTTCCGAACCAATTTGTTGACATCAACTGAGACTCCTTGCGCTCCATTGAGGTCGAGTTGACGGTGGACGTTTGCAGATTGGACTGGTGCGAACCAGACAACGTGCCAAAGGCAGATGCTCCCTGGCATTGGAAGATTTGCTAGGCAAATAAGCTTTGAACTCGCAAAAGATCAGCAAATCCCAGCACTTTGCATTGCTTTGCATCACAACTGTCAAAATCACAAGTGTTGCACATTGCCACATTGCTTCACCTTCAGGCAGCTTAGTTTCTCGACATGATTCGACGAGTCTTTTTTATTCTTTTGGGCAGAAAGCCGTGTGCTTTAATCGTCTACTTATGATCATCTTATAATCATCTTATAATCATCTTATAATCATCTTTAAGCAACATGATGCAACATGACATGTGTGACATGTGTGACATGTGTGACATGTGTGACATGACAAGGTGCTGATCGGCAGTGATTTGGCCTACGACGTGGGCGCAATGCCAAGCCTCGCTGGGGTGCTGGCGGCGCTTCTGTCCCCAAGGGGTGACCAGTGCCTGTCGTCCGAGAACTATCGCGGGACATATACAAGAACTGTATCAACATGTATTAACATGTATTAACATGTATTAACATGTATTAACATGTATTAACATATTGTATATTAATATTATATTGATGTTATAATTGAGAATAATATCGGTAGTAGAATTGTAATCACTTGTAATCTATACAGATGGGCCTAGACTTCACTTTCATCACTGCAGAGGTACCGCACGGCACGCCATCCTGGCGTGCATGAAGCGCCAGGAGGGCACATTCGAAGCTTGCCAACTCGACTCAACTTTTGAACAAACTGAATAAAGACGCTGAAAGATGCTGAAAGAGAACGGAAATGAAGATTCAGAGAGCTGCATGCCGCATGTTCCAGGAAAGTAATGGAAATTGTTGCATGCCGCATGTTCCAGGAAAGTAATGGAAATTGTGGATTGTTGGATTGCGTCTGGATGAACTATGTATTTTGTCCATGCCCATGCAATAGCACACGATAGCACAGGTGCGGGAATTCAGAGGTGGAAACCTTCTCTGTTCATCTCATTTCATCTCTCAATCTCTATTTAGTTCGGGCTCAATCTGAGGAGGCCCTGAAAGAAGCGATGACTTCGCACGGTTTGTCCGCAACTCAGCGGAGACTCAAACTTCGAATGGGCAGTGCTGTCGCCAAAAATGACACGATCCGACGATCCGAGAGAAATCCAAAAGGGTATGGCGGGTATGGCAAACAGACCGTCGGACCGTGAAAAGATGTGAAAAGGAAGTGCTTTGACAAAGTTGACCATGATGTGTTCCAATGTGTTCCAATGTGTTATCAGAGTTCTCAGAGTTATCAGGACTTGGCGAGACTTGAGCATCGAAGAGGACCATTGGAAGATGGCGTGGCAATGGGCGCAACAAGGCTGTGACGTCCACAGTGGAGCGCAGCTGATTCTTCTGCAGGTCATGGCTGAGGCGCCAGTGAAAGTGCTTGTCAATGCTTGTCATATTTTATTTTAACATTCACTATTCATTCACATATCATTCACATATCATTCACTATTTCATACTCTTCATTCATTTCCGTTAGCCATACATTAGGAGATGGAGTCGCACCTGAGATCAGCTGGTCTTGTGGCAAGGTGTCAGAGTCGGTGCCAAGATCTGACTTTTTGGAGTAGCTCTTGCAGGACTAAGGAAACAGCGTGGAAAGGAATGATTTGAATGAACATGAATGAACTATTAGTGCTCTCTGATGGTCTCTGACTCTTTGCTAAGCATAAAGTCTCTGACCTCAAGGTGAGCGCTGTAGCCTTAACAGTCTGGATTTTAAGAACCGAAACTCCATTTAATTTGCATTGCTTCCATGACAATGCAGAGGAGAATCGCAAGAAACATTCTGCAGGTGTCAGGTTTCTTGTGGCAGTTGAAAGTTTACTGACTGCTGCCCCGTGTTCTGATTGAAACCTTCATTGAGAAACCTTTGTAAAACATTGTAAAACTGGTTAGCAACTTGGAACCAATGACAGCCTTTCTGTTTGGAGCTGGCGATTTTCCAATGGATTCGATGTTCCATACAGCTTTAATCAGCTTTATCTATGCCCACGCTGCAACCCCAGGAGTCAGATTCGAAGCCCCTTTGGTGCTTTGGTGCCCAAACGCATGGGAACCTGGAGGAACTTCCTGCTAGTGCTCTATCCAAAGAAACATTCGCGTTTGCAGTGAAGATTTTGACGCCGCAAGCCGGGCAAGCCGGTGCATGTCTTCCAAATATGCGTGACATGATTTCTGGGTATTCTTTTAGAATAGTATATACTACAGAATCATACATAATCTACATAGAATGACCGATTCGTTTTTGAAATGTGGCAGGTGCAATGGACCCCCAAGTTGCCTGCATCAAGAAGCAAGTTATGAAATAGTTTTGATAAGTTATGTTATGTCCAAATTCGCATCCAGCACAGGAAACATTCCTGTCACAGGACTCGAATCCTACAGCTTGGAAGACAGATGTCACACAGATGTCCACATCCCACAGGAGTACCCTACAAGAGATTTTGGACCAACTCAAAATTGGGCAGACTAATCCACTTGTACCCAAGAATTGTTTAGATTGTTTAGCATCAGCAGCAATACCTCCCTGAATCTAAGTTTTTCGTTTCCAAAATGTGGCGAACATACTTTGTACAGGTTCTGCTTTTGTAGAGTCGCCCACCCATCTACACTGATCCTGACAGATCTCAGAAATTCTCAGGGCCTCCTTTCATAAAGTAGGACTGAGCAAACTTGGCCCAGACTCAGTTCAATGACGTTTAAATTGAACCTATAAATGAGCAAAATTGAGCAAAATGAATAGAGATTAGCAAAAACAATTTGCATTTAAATCAAATTAGATTCAGCTAATTTGTTCAAAAAGACCGAATGAGCAAAAATGCAGGCAATTGAGATGGATTTGAAGCGGCACTTGCGGCGGACAAGAAAGAGCAAGATGCTCGGTGGTTGCCGCGAGAAAATTGCAAAACCAGAGACATTCTACAAACCCATATTGTGTGACAATGCGTTAATCTTGCCGGGTGACAAATGCCGCGGGAAAAAATGAAAAACAGCAAGCAAAGCATCAGCTAGCAGTCTATTTCAATCCCAGTACACGTATAGATACTCTTGATACTCTTGTTGCACGGCGTCCGCAGCACAACTTGATTATCCAAATATGTGTTTTTTCCTGGCAGGTGACTGGTTATCCAGACCTTAAAATTGTGTTTTACCTGGCACATGTAGCACATAGTGGTTCTCCAGATAGACACTGGCGTGACTCATGCATCCAGTCACAGTCCAAGATTGATAAGTGTGTCAATTGTGCCTTTCGTTTCTGCCTGGGCATGTTCAAAGCAAGAGAAATCACGAGAAATCTAAAAAAGAAGTGGAAAATGAAACGAAGACGCGAATAAGAAAAAGCAAAAAGAAGCAAAAGAAGTGGAAGTAAAGCGTCAAACGATGAGAGTCATTCGTTTGCATCCGTTTCCTCATTGAAACGATGACTTATGATGACTTGCAACCATGGCTGTGGCATGCTGTGGCCAACCAACACGATGTAAATCGCACCGTTGCACCTTGGAAAACCGAAGAAGAAAACAAAAAAGTCAAAACAATGGCAGAAAATCCGTTAAAACGATTTCGCTGCAACCCTGACGTTGCGCCGCGTCTGACTTCAGATGGCATATATGAAGAAAAAGTTGATGTTATTACTCCAATCAACATATTGTCCATAGGGGGTGGCGAATTTTGATCCCTTATGAAGATAAAGTTGATGATATTACCCCAGTCAATATATTGTTCATAGGCAGCAAATTTTAATGCGATGATGATCACAACGTCCGGGTTGGGGCGAACGATTTAAAACGCTTGTTCCACGGCTGTGCAACTGAACCGAAATCCGTTGTTCTCCCTCTCCACGGAGAGATGAGCCATCGTCAGTTTTGCACGTGCGTTCTTTGCCCAAGGCACCGAAGCTGCCGCCGGATGCAGCGACTTCAAGTGAGCAGCATTGAGCAGCATTGAGCTGTGTTCCAATGTGTTGCAATGTGTCGCAACATCCAACTGCCAGTGGCCAGTCTGGAGCCCTATGCGAAGGACCCATTTGATGAGCATGGGTTGAGTACTTGGATCTTGTGAACTGCATCAAGAAGTGCACTTCCTGTGGTTATTTGCAAGTCTTTTTGACCTTTTCGAGCCTATCTTCAAAACTGTACGTGTCTATTGCGCATTTCCTGAATTCAGGATCCTGGCATTTGGCGAGGAGTACGTGGAATCGGAGCTTCCAAACCAGTGCGCAGCACGCAGCGCTTGCCTGGACGTTTGAGCCTTGAGTATATATCCTACGCTAGCATCCTACCCATCAGTATGTTCCGGGCCGCCATGTATGGTTGATGATTCGTTTGACGAAGGATTGTCTCCATCAGCTCGCTTTTGCCCAAAGAAATGGTCAATCTTTCTGTTAACCTGATCATGTTCGGTCCGTGCTCTCGTGCATACTTCCTTCTGAGTGAGTTTCAACATCTTTCACTGTCATAAATGTTTCATTCGTGGCATTAGCAGGGATGGTGGTTGAAACTATCAGCGCTATCCCTTTTGTGACTGGACTTGCTTTGCATCTTAAGATGTCATGAATGTGGCACTGAATAGTTTTGCTTTCCCGTTTCTAGGTATTGAAGCACATTCATGTCACTCGCAATGTGGCTGCAATTGCACGAAGGCTGGAAGTTGATTCGTTCACAGTTTGGCAGTTTCACTGAGTCACCGTCATCACCAGATCGGTTCACGACTTGAAATTTTGAAATGCTGTCAAAGCAACGAAACGGGCGGAGACCCCGCGGAAAAAACAACAGACACGTTAGACTACTTTGCAGCATCCGCGGGGCTGTACGGGCTCCGTACACAAGAGACGCTGTTAATTGGTGTCCTCAACTAGACAAAATTTCTCACAAACGATGGTAAACCATGAAGGTTCATAAGAGCCCAAGACATTGGAATTGGCCATTGCCAGCCATTTCGGAAACCTCTGTTGACTTATTGTTTTGAAATTATGTTGCATGTTCCAGTATGCTTTGCACATGCCATGTGCAGGTGCGTGACAACTACCAATCGCTTACCCCGTTTGCAGATTCAATGGTTGTGCCATGTTGTGCCATGTTGTGCCATGTTGTGCCAGTCCATTTGCATCCACTTGCAGTGGCAGGTTTCGTTGCTGAGCTGATGACTTGACCTTTGGGGCCACAGCGAAACAGAGCGGAAAAGAATGGGCCAAGCTCACTGGAGAGCAAAAGTGGCTAATGCTCGCTCCACTTTGTCACCTCCGTGTCGCCTAGATCTAGTTCGATTATGTCCGATTTGTTTCCATGCCAGGATGATGCGCTTCACATGGCTATGGATTGCTGCATACTTCGGCTGCCAACTCAGCCAATGCATCTCTCAACACCCACACCTCAGATTCAGACCACTTTGGACAACCAAAGACTCTTGGGGACACTTTCTTTGTTTTGGTTTATTTTTGCATTTTTTTGCACCTTCCGCAGTTTTGCATATATGCCACGTGTTCGTTTCATGAGTTTCATGGGTTCTTTTCGTTCGGCCATCAACTGAGGTTGTGCCTGCGTGTCCGTCACACAGTCCAAAGGGAGAGCAGCATCGTGTGGAAAAACTGACTCAGCGCGAAGACGGGTCCAAATCGAACCCCAAAGTACTGTAGGACATTGCAGGGTATTGTGACTACTGTGGGTTTGTGACGTTCATCTTGAATCTTGAAGGGGAGCAGTCAGTTCAACTGAGGTGGGATTGGGCTGAGAAGAATTGGGCTGAGAAGAACGGGACAGCAGTTCCGCACACCCAACAGGCCGAAGATTTCAAGATACTTCAACTATTTCAACAAGAACGGCACAAACACATGCTGTTCTGTGATGTGTGCTGTCACTTGGTCCTGGTTCGCTAGGCCAAGCAGTTCCGGGACCTGCTTCTCATCGTCCTCTTGCTTTGTTGCGTCAACCTCTTCGCAGTAGGAAGGAAGTGCGCCAGTGTCACTGTAGCAGCCTGATGTTTGCAGTGTCCTCCCAATGGGATTTGCTCTGATGTGGTCTGGGAGGAAATTGCAGCATGGTTGTAATCACGAAATACTGTACCTATGTTCTGATGTTTGAATACTCTTATGAATCCTATTGCTTACCATGGCTTTTGATGCTGTTTTCAACAGTACTGCTGAGTTCACAGTCTCCATTTGCCTGGCCCTTGCAGGTACTACCTGGAGCCACTCAGCTGCATGGCAGCGGCTAGAAGACAACTTTTTGAACACCACAACAGTAGGGATGCAACCAGGAGTTTGTTTTGGGAAGAAAACAAACCTTTTGACAGGAGAAAGGTTAGTTTTCCTGGTTGAAACAAACGTTTATAGACGACAGAAAAGGTTTGTTTTACAAGCCGAAACTAACGTTTTGGCGCTGCCCAAGCTTTGGCCTGAAAGCAGTGGAAAGAGAAAACAAACGCTTCCCATGCGAAAAAGATCGAAAAAGTAAGTTTTGGGGCTCGAAACACACCTTTTTCAGAAACGTTAGTTTGAAACTGGAAACTCAAAACAAACTCCGTTGGAGCTAGTTTCGAACCCTAGACTAGTTTGTTTGTTTGTTTTTGAGAAAACGTTTGTTTCGGAATGGTGCATCCTTGGCAAACATATCATAGTAGAGCGTACCTAGAGAAGCTGACCGCCGTCGTCGTTTTGCATTTTTGCCGGCAAGTAAAGCGGTGTTTCGCCATGGTTGCAGAAACAAACTTACTCCTTACCTGCCCTCGAAAAACCCTAGTTTCGGAAACTTGCAACTAAAGCTTCGAAACTTTAGCTTTCCTGGCCGGTCTCTGGAACGTTTGTTTCCGGCCGGAACACAAACTTTTCCGGCTCAAAACCTTTGTTTCCAGACCTGGAAACTAACCTTTTCCCAGGGCTCGGAAACGTTTGTTTCTCGGCCGGGGACAAACCTTTTTTCCCAGAGTTTGTTTGTTTCCCCCGCCGCCCTCCCAAGCCAGCCAGGCCCCAGGTTTCGAAACAAACCTTTTCCACTTGAAAACTAACCTGTTAAACTTGAGTTTGAAACATGACCGCATCCATACTCCAGAAGCAAATCCGACAGATATGCAAACGTTAACGAAAAGTAAATCACGAGATATCACGAGAGTGCACCAAACCCGATTCACTGCTGCCACTGGAATGTGTTTTCGTGCTGCCACGGGAGCGCTGTCTTCATACAGACGTCTAGCGTTAAACCAAACAAACGCCAGTTTTCTCACAGGAAGGGGCAGCAAACAAAATTCATCTATGACTGGCAGCAGCGTGAGGTGGGCAGCAAGCTTTGGGAAGCCAAACTTGTCTCTTCAATTTAGCATATTTTAGCATGAAACATATGAAACCTGGGAGTCACACGTCGTGACTGAGAGGCCACTCAGCAGATCTTCCGAATTTTGGAGTACATGGTGCGGCCTGTGGGTCGGGTAGCGCTTCCACCTGGGAGCTGGTATGCATATGTATGCATAGACAAGACAGCTTCGCACTGGCACCTGTCCGACTTGGATTTTGTGAGTGTGTTCCGATGGAGAAGTGTTGGAATCGTGGGTTCCAACATATTGATTTTGAACTTGGTGGATTGACTTCAGGTGCCCGTCCATGTGATCGTGCCAATGCTCAAGAAACCGGGCTCTGTGATTGCGGATGAGGTGCCGAGAGTCAAAGAAGCAAGCAGATACAGTCATCGGATCTCTTGGGATCTGCCAATATGTATCGGAATGAATTCTTTTGTTTTGTGCCCAAAGTAAGAAACCATCCCAGCTGAGAAGTCTCGGGCATGCAGGTGAAATGTGCCTCCATCCTCTTCGTAATGTTTTCTGACTTTGACCAGACTGCTCGCAGGTTTGTCGGTTTGTAATGGCCGATGGAGTGCAGCTTGCGGCAGTCGCTTTTCAACTCTCAACCTAGAAGTCTTCCAACAAAGAAACCTGTTTTTATTGATTTGTATTGATTTTAATTGTCCGGTGATTCCCATTGTGTGCCATGAAGTGAGCCCTATGTCTTGCAGGAAGCAGTTAGCACCTCAGAGCTCAGAAGAAGTGGTCTGCAAAGGTCTGCAAGAATTGGACACCTGCAGTTCAATTTACTCCAGGATCAGCTAGATTCAGCATATTTAGATATATTTAGCTTAATTACTTGTCTATACCTGTGTCTTATGTTTGCTGATGTTTGATGTTTTGGAAAAAAAAAGTCGTATTTTGTCCCATCCAAGGCCAGCGGAGCTGCTAGACTATTTGAGACTTGGCATGGGATAAGTATAGATAAGTGGGATAAGTCTGCTATTAGTCTGCTAGTAGAGCACTTGTGGGCCTAAGATGGCCTAAGCATAGTTAAACGCGAACTACGCAGCTGAAATCTCGACTGTGGAAGAGATTTGCTCACGATGCAAATGGCAGGGAAGGCCATTTCCTTTTCTAGAAAGATCTTGACAACTGTATTCTGATTATTCTGGTATTCGTGCAGTTTTAGAAAAGAGCATTCAGTATGATATAGCGTACATACGGCACATGTTTTCTTCCTGATGTTTTCTCTGGTGCACAGGGTGCTTAAACTGGTTGCGATGTGGACGAAGGCTTCAATCACAGACGCCCGAACCAAGAAACTCCTACTTCACCCAGTTTGACAAGATCTGTGCTCAGCACGAGGCAGGCCGATCAGCCACACGATGAACTTAGGATTTGTCTGTTCATCGTAGAATTATAGGGTGCATTCTGCTGCATAGGTCACGAAGATCGAGACTGTGGGCGAAGAGTGACCAGCTCTTTGAAGAAGTTGTCGTTTTCACCACATTTCGCCACAAAGTCCTCTTCGCTGCCATGTGTTTCATGCTCTATTTGCGATGCGGCACTTTGTTCAAAGTTTGAGGGTTCTGCCTATTACTTTACTATATCTTTTAATGTTGGTTCTGGTGTGGCCATCGGAAGAAGATGAAGAAGACGCTCCCTTCACAGAAATCAAGCCGTCCCTACCGGGTTTCGCTTTTCAGTGGATTCCAGTAGCAAGGTACGTTTGTGCAGTGGGTGTTGTACCAAGAGATTGGGAGGCACCGTTGCCAAGATTAAACATCAAGCCACCAGAGAAAGGCATGTTATGAGGATCTTGGCAGTACGATTGAAACAGACGATACATATATGACTCATGTGTCTTGTTTGACTCGTATGACTGGACATTTGCATCTCAGCAATGGAAGCCAAGCTCCAACTACAAAACTGAAAGGAAACCTGAAAGGAAACCTGCAAGTCCTGTCATGTCCTTTTTATTTTCAGCCTCGCCCGCATTGGGTACATGTCGAATCATGTCGAAGCTGCGCAGGTTAATGATGCCTTGGGCCATGCGGTCATTCTGCACCGCCTGATCAAGGTCTGTGCATTTTGGGAGACCAGGTGACCAGGTGATCTCAACCAAAGACTTCGCAGAAAGCCTGCAGACCTGGGAAAAGTTTGGTGATTCTGATGCTGTTTCACCTCACACCTTAGACACAGTGCATTGTCATGAAGCAACCGCTCTCGCTCTCATCCTAATTTCACTGGATATTTCACTCATTTTCTATCTCTCTCTCTCTCTCTGTCTATCTCTGTCTATCTCACATTATCTCGATTCAGCAAGAAGTCTGAACAGATCTGAACAGCCAAAAAGATCGAACAGCGCATAACAGCGCCTTGGAGGCGGCAACCGAGATCTTGCAAGTTCAGCGAGATTCCGATGAGGTTCGACTTAAGGCAACCATCCGAAAACCATAAGAAATCAATATCGAAATCAATATAGATATTATGTATACTGTACATATATATATATATATTATATAATCCATATACATATCTTATATAGAAATCAACAGAAATCATCAGAAATTCTTCCCTTTCCTGTACCTAGACGCAGGAGGTGAAGCTCAAGATGGGAATTCACACCGGTCCTGTGGTCCTGAGCTGAGGGATTTCCTATAGGAAATTTCACCGCCCGTCACTGACCTCCGTGAACGACTTGTCATGACTCGTCAATGGAATGCTATGTTTCATGATTTTCATGTTTCTGAAAGAAAGTTTCTTAATTTGTTGTATTTTGTTGACCATGTTGGCCATCGACCATTGAGGTTGCTGGAGTCATTGGACAGAAGCTGCCAAGGCTTTGCTACGTGTCGTGTTTCTGCTGTAATTTCTTCGGTTGGCAGCTGCTCATCAAATAGGGACATGTTCATACAGAACTGTAGGCATAGAGACTCCGCAAGACAGAAAGCAATCGACCACTGCAGAACATGACAAGGAAATGCATAAAGCAAGCATCAAGAGCACCAAAGAATTTTTGTGCTTGACTTGCGTGGTCTTGGGCGGTCTTTGACCTGAAGGTTTCGCCTGTTTGGAGACACCATCAACACGGCAGCCCGCATCATGCAGAAGGTGCGAATGTGGTGATTTTGTTCTCTTTTGCATTACCCTTTGATTGATCAAGGACAACATAGTTTCATGACACTCTTTAAACGCGTGATGTTGTTTGACCAATTTTTGATCAATGTTTGACCTGTCCTGGGGTGTGCATGGGTGTGCAACGATTGCAGGGGCTGCCTGGCGAGCTGCAGTTCGGCAAGGCCTCGGCCACTCTTGACCAGTGAGAGTCAATGGTTTTTCACTGTTACATTTTGTAACTGTGTATATTTGTGTATTAAAAAAGTGTAAAAGACTGTATCATCATGACCTACATTAGCGTCATTAGATATCATTAGCGCATAAATCAGCCCAGGGGAGAATACACATTGTGGTGAATATATGGGCATTTCATTGAGCAGGTAATGAATGGTAATGTGTATGCTTTTTGCAGAGCAACTTCCCCAATGTCAGGTGTTTCAAGCACACGGTCATACGACAACATACGATAACATACGATAACATACGATAACATACGATAGCATACGACTCACAGGACTCAGACACGTTGCGAGGCCACGAAAGACAATTTGCCTCCTGGAGTTGGAATGCCAAGTCACAGCACCAATTCGCTCAGTGATGCTCAGTTTCCATTCGAACAGGACCGTCTAATCGCCGTCTAACAGGTCAGTAAGTCAGGCATGATCAAAATGTAACCAAGTTAATCCAAGTTACCCAGAATTTGAAGAATAAAATTGCCGCTTTTGGGGTGTTTGTGGATGTTTGGGGCACATTTTTTGCATCTTTTTGCCACAGCTTCCGGGTACCACATCGACCAAAGTAAAGGTACTTTCGGATCAAGTTACGCTTCAAGCATCGAGGTGAAATGCCGCTTTCGCGACAACATTGAAATGAAGGGCAAAGGGAAGGCAGAGATGCTGAGAAATGACTATATGTGCTTGTTGTCAAATGTATATAATATGTAATATTGTCAAGAGCCCCAAGAAGGTGCAAGTAAAGATCGCCGTAAATGGCAGTCGTTTGAATTCTACTTGTATAGAGCAAGTACCGAAGTTTCATGAAGTTTCAGGATGTGGAAGCCAGTGGAATGGTAAAGAAACTTCTGAGTCTCTTCTGCCAGGTACCTACGTGGCTCTTAGGGGCTGAGGCACCACCGGGATCAATGCGGCACAACATGTGATAAATCATGGGAAATCACACTTGATATATAGATATCAGTTCGATTCATCTCGTGTTTATTGGTCCAAGACTTCTACGGTATGTCATTCTATGTCCCATTCACAAGGTTTGGAGTGGTTTTTTGCTGCTTTGCAGGAGGCACTGCAGCCAGCGCCTTTATCGCCTGAATTTGTTCAATGCTTCTCAGAAGAGCGTTAAGACTGTGAAACTAAGCAGATATGGGCAGATGTTGCTTGGAGAATGAAATCACATTCACTGGTTGAAATCGTAGTGCCGAAGTGCATAGGTTTCAAGTCGCAAGGTAGCTTGTCTCTGCAGTTTGGCCCAACTCCATCCCCATTTTTTCCTTGTGGAGTGTCAAGATAGAGGCATGTTAGGGAGAGGGGAAATGGAAGAGAAGAAGGAGGAGAAGACAAGGCCGAACTCAAAGTTTTCAACTCTATCCAACCCGAAGGCCGAAGGCGTGCTCTGCAAAGCTACCGCACATCAAAAGGGACTTCGAGAATTCCTCGGCGAAGTTCAGAAGAGTCACATTTCCTTCGAGCAGTGGATCTTCATGATTCGAAAAGAGGACTTTCCAGATGCAGGCACCAAAAGCAAAGCCTGAATTGTGGGACAGAGCCAGCTGTTTATGTTGTTTGATGTTGTTTGTAACATTTTAAAACAATTACAAACCATATGGCATATGGCATCAGATCAGCACATGACAGTGCGATACCCTAGGACTCTGGATCATAGGACTACAAGGTATTACACACATTTACAAACTATCATGTCATGTTCCGCAAAATGTTTTATGTTTCTCAGGAACACTTGGAAAATGGCCATAGACCTGTTTCTTGTTTGTTTTGTTCAACTAAAGACAGCCGGGACTGGTGTCGTAACATGTCGTAACCAATTATTAGCGTGCCCTTTGAGACTTCATTTGAAGCCGAAAAGGCAACGCTCCATGCAACGCATGGGCCAGGTTGGGATATTGAGCTGTCTGATGCCTTCCTTCCGCTCAACGAGATCAGACCGGCACGAGCTTGTGCCACACTGATGAAGCCTCAGGTGTGCAATTCGCAGCAGTGCCATCGACATTTTCTTCGTTTGTAAAATCAACAAATGACTAACAGTCTAGCAGAGTCTAGCAGCTGGTTGACACTTTAAGTCATTATAAGTCATTGATTTTCTGAGGACAGGACAGTGTCGAATTCCTGTCTTAAGCCTCTTCTGAAAAAGCAGAAGGTGCTGTAGGGCAACCGTGGAAAAGACAACACATATATGAGCTGGCTTCTCCAGACGTGTGAGATGTTTCTGAGAAGAAATATGGCGGCCACGCCTGGCTTTGGCTCCCTCATTCGGCTCCTCGAGCCGGAGCACAATCTTTCTGCTTTACTAAGCTAATCTATATTAATCTTAACTACACTGGAGAGTTTTCAGCATGTTGGCAGCAAATTCTCCCCTGTGTGCATCTTTGTGCTCTGCTGAGTAGTGTTTGAAGTGTTTGAAAGTCCCGGAGTTTGACCTTCTTTGACCTGCCTGCTTCAATTGAGCTGTCGCAAAAGCTTATGATTCACTGCTGATTCATGCGGACGGTATGTGTAGAATCACTTGTAAATCGGGGTGCTGCTGATGGCACAGCCACTGACTGCTCAAAAGTGTGACTCAAAGAGTTGACACAACTTGAAAGGTACATGATCTACCATGCCTCAGGTTCATTGTTATCCATGTAACTGTTCTGGCTCTAGAGCTCGACCTAGGTAAACACAAGACTTCGTCACAAGCGGATAGAGGAAAACAGACATTTGCGGAAACAGTACTTCTTTGTCACTTTAGTTCCTCTATTTTTCGAGTTGGTAGCGGAGCCGGGAACCCCGGCAGTAACCCCCATTTAAGGTATCTGCTATACCCTAAGGGTCGACTCGACTGCTTTCATTTCTTTTCATCCTTACTCCATTGATTGTCATCATGTTCACCGCCGTGCTGAAGTTGTGTGCCGTGTTAGTAGTGGCACTGGTGGGGTCTGTCTCAGCCAGTACTGGGCTGGTGATCAAGAGTCGCAACACCAGCGCTCTTGTGATCCAGTCCAGTGCGGTTGGGGCAGGCTCGATCAGTGTCACTACACACTGGTATGCAGCGAGCAATGGTCGCAAAGCCCCAGTACAGGCCAGGTCCGAAGGCGAGTACAAGCCCAGCCTGGTGAATGGGGATCTTTGGAGGCAGGAGCTGAATTCGACCCTGGTGCGGCTGCACCACTCAAGGAGGAAGTTCAAGATGAACCCTCGAGATCAGCGTAGGGCAGAGCTTTTGCGTAGGCGGCTTAGACGGCAGCAGAGATCGGTACTTGAAAGATTGCTAACCATGTACGACTCTAAGCTGAAACATCTAAAGTCCCGTCACATGGAACTCTGTGAGCTGGTCTATGGGAAAGATGCAGCCATTAGATCCAGGAAACATTGCATGAACGGATCGAGAGCAGGCAATCGGAAGGTGAAGTCTCCTGAAGCCCATGGCAATTCGGGTTCGATGACCGCTGGTCACCGTGATGGTAGATCGCTCTCGGACTCGACACTGGTGCTAGCCGCTGGAGGCGGCCTCAGCACATGTGCATTAGTGGCTTGCATGGTGCCAGGAAGGAGTAGCCATCCAAGATTGCCCCCCGCATGGAGCCCAGAAATGGAGCATCAGTATAGCTTCAGTACTTGGTCTAGGGACATCTTAATTTGGAGCATTGCTACAGATGGGGATGCATCTCGAAAGGCGGCTAGTGTGATTTCTCAACTGCAGGGATCAGCCAGGGAATTCAGCAGGACACTTCCGCCCCAGACCATCCTGACAGGGGGTACCGTAAATGGTACCCAAACCGACCCACTAACGTTTTTGATGTATCAACTTAGCACCCGATTTGCCAGGCTAGGTGAGGAAGTCCGGCTAGGGGCAGTATAGGAGATCTGTTGTCATTTGGAAGGGAATCCAATGAAAGGATCGACATGCTGCTGACTAGGTTTGATACTACCCGCATGCGTGCGGCAGAGACAGGTGGGCTCGCCCTGAGCTATGCTGGTCTTTCTTGGTTGCTGATCCGTGCAGTTGGTGTCTCGGATTCTCAATTGATCCAACTATTGCAGCCACTCGGTGGTGCTCTCCCTGCTGATGAACAGCAGTTCACGGAGTTGAAAGGTGCCATTCGACGCATGGGTAGGATCATTGAAAATGCACCAGGAAATATGTCCAACATGTTGCGGGGTAGACAAAATCCAACACACAGTTACCATATTCAGGACGAGCACTCATGGAATGAAAATGTATTCACATCACAGAATGACCAACCCAGTAGTTCTTGGCATGACCAGAGTTCTTGGCAATCCCAATGGCATTCATCCGAAGCATACCCCACTTATACACCGCCGCAAGATCCATACGTGTATTTGTCAGAGGGTCAGGGTGACAGTGGCACAGACACTGACACCAGCAGTGACTATGGCGAAGAAGCCTGGCCAGCTGCTGAGGGTGCCACGGCCAATGAGCAGGCTGCCGAGCTCTACTGGGCCTATTCCCGTGCTAAGGCACGTTGGAGGTCATTCATGGGCAAGCCGACCCGAAAAGCTCGGAGGTTTGCCCGCAGAGCCATCTATAAAGGTGGAAAAGGTGGTAAGTCAAAACATGGAAAACCCAAAGGCAAGATCATCAACACTTCATCTTATTTGTCCGAACTCAATGAATCCCAGCTCATGGAAATTTTCCCTGCCTTTAGGGCAAAAGGTGGAAAGAAAGGGGCAGGGAGTGGCAAGGGTAAGGGCAGAAAGGGCAATCCAAGAGGCCCGGATGGACGTAAGATGAGATGCCACGAATGTGGTTCGGAAGATCATCTGGTTGCCAAGTGCCCACGACGGGCTGCAGCCAATGACTCGTCTCAGAACTTGTTCGTAGACTTGGACACCGCCGACCAGATTCCCCCAGGTGTAATCACATCAACCACGGTCCTCATGGTCAATGAAGTAGATGCTAATGTTGGACAAGAATCCAGAACTGATCATTGGTCGACAGTTTCTGGTGGACCCCCATCTAATGCATCCACATTGCCAGCAGCACCTCAGGACCCGTGGGCCAATAGTGATCCTTGGAGGCGGTACAACGAGAGCAGGACGGGGAGACAGGTCGTTGGGGGGATTGTGAATCCTATGCCACCACTGCCGCGCACGACCCGGGCAGTGGATATGGCCGATCAATCCTTGTACATGCAGAGTGTCTTCAATGGCTTGAATGGCCTGATGCATCCGACCACTGAACCACGATCTTTCGGACCGCCAGTGATGAACCAATTTACCCATAACACCCCATTAACCACTAATCCAACGAATAACCTTCCCCAGAATAACCCCACTAATCCACAGGGCAGAAATGTAAACAATGAACCATTTTCACAGCAACCTGTTGCAGAATCGACTACTATTCAAGAACCATATGTTGCCCAAAACATGCAACCACCACCAATGCAGTTGCCACCGGTCCAACGGCACGAAGTGTCGCAACACCCACTGATCGTGGGACCAGGGGAGATCCCAACAGTGATCCTACAACATCCGGCCCCGGAGTTGCCAGAATGGGCATTGATGCCCGAGTTTAATTTCTTGCAGGGGACTGCCTCGGAAGTGCGTGCACCGACCTATCATCCGATTGTCTCAGAGAATGCTATCAGCACACTTGACACGATCCGTAGTCAAGTTGTGGGGGAATTTCATCAAGCAAACCAGTTGCGTGAGATCCCAATAGCTTCTAGAGTATCAGAAAGGGTCAGTGAGCCAGCATTCAATCATCCGCAGGTACGTGCTCTTCATCATCAGCACCGGACGATGATGACACTGCAGGAGATGAGGACTCGTGAATCGGAAGGTTCGAGGAGTGAGGTGAATCCGGCCCACACAGTAACACCCTCGAATAATCCCACAGAACCCATGGTAACTCCAAATGTCGGACAACCCAATGCTGAATACTTAGGGGATGAGCATCGCTGTAGCATCTGTTTGGAAGAGTATAATGCAGGGGAACAATTGGTGCGATTGACCTGCAGACATACCTACCATGAGGGCTGTTGGACTGACATCCTATTGAGGGAAGAAAACCCAACATGCCCATGTTGCCGCGGCGGGGGACATGTAGTTGCACACTACCGCTACATTGCACCCACTTCTCCAAGAGATCAGCAGGATGAATTTAGGACACCACACGGGACACCCACCTTTCCATGGTGGCCTGAGACCGCAGAGGCGTCTGGAGCCACATCAACTTACCATTCATCCACCCAAGTGCCTGGTCACCAATCAATTGTAGTTGATCCCGGGGCATGGACCAATCTAGCAGGTCAGCAATGGGCTGAACGCCAAGCCACAGCCGCGCGGAACGCGGGCTTGAGATCAACGCGTAAGTCAATGACTAATCCAATGGCTGTCAGGGGAGTAGGACAGGGTACTCAAAGCTGTACGCATGTTGCCACATTGCCGATAGCAATACCCAACATCATCCACCCCCGATCTCAACCGGAAGAAGGTGATGGTCCATTGGTTAGGGGCGAATCTGTATCATTCAACTTCGAAACCCCCATGGTAGAAGGGGAGGGCCGTGACCTCCCGGCACTACTTGGTTTGAGGAGCATGAGCAATCACAATGCCGTGCTGGAAATGGCACCTGGCAGGGAAATGCTCACCCTCACAGCCACGGGTAGCTATACCATTAGCTGGGGTTCGGACGCGATTCACATTCCACTTGAGAGGGCTCCCAGTGGACATCTTGTGTTTAGGACCGACGCATTCCAGAGCATTCCCAGGAGAGGTGGTGGTTTACCCCCAACGGTCTATGGGTTATATAGCCATATGAATCGTCAGTACCAAGAAACTCCAGATGTTCCCATTGGTGTAGCCCCAAGTGATAATCCGTATGCAGATGTCCCCGAAACCCCAGCAGAAGCACCTGCCAGATCATCAACAGAAGCCCCAGCCAGGAGCGCAACAAGAACTGGACAACCATCTCCAGGATCACCATCAACAACCCCATCACCTGCATCACCACCACCACTGCCAAAGACAGGACAACCATCATCAGAACCACATCCAGCA